AAAGTGCTACTGGGAAGCTGATTGTGTGTTTTCGGTAATTGTTTTTAGGCATGGGATGATAACGAGCTTCAAAGTTTATCGTGGTTTGGAAAAGTCAAGGTATTAAAACTGTTTAGGTATACCAGTCCTATGGTACATTTTTACGTGTTTTTTTAAATGACTATTTAAATGTTTTATTTTTCGTTCAACAGTATCTCTGGCAGAAAAGGAACATTTACATCAAAGATCAGCCCACAATTCAGCAAACATTTCAGAAATTCAAAATCTCTTTATACACCAACATTCAAACATGCTATAGACCTGAACAGTGCAATGACTTTACTTTATATCCTCAGAAAAGAAAGATATCCAAAGCTGCCTTTTCAAGTTGTGAAGAATTCTGTGTTTTTGAAGCAGAAGGCAAAGATTTATTTGAATTATTTAGCCTGACATGATTACTTTCCAAAATTATTTTCAACATTCCTTAGAATCAAAAAATACTGTGTTCAATGGAGAGAAAGTTGTTAGAACATAACATAGAACATAAAAGTAATCACAATATCGTGATAACATGACATTATTATGCAAGGTTTTCAAACACTTATCATCAATCTTATATCAGCCTGTGACTATTTGTTTGTGATCTTCTCGTGGTTATGGAAGATGTTGCTTAAGAACATATTAGAAAAATGTGCTAAGAGCAAGAAAATGTTAACAATGTTAAAGGGGTGGTCCAGAGTGTATTTTTAGGCTTGGTTGTGTTTATAAGATGCAAAGTAATGTGTGCTCATGCTTCATTTGTAAATAATCACGTGATATGTATAGCCGTTTCAGTTTGAGCCTGAATTAGACAGAAAATGAAGAGAAAATAGATGAACCTCACACCTTTTTTCTTAAAAAAATCCTGAAAAGTGTTTTTCATATATATTCGGATTACAAGCATGTTTAAGTAATATGAAACATTTACATATCTTTTGCGAGTTCATTATTTGAGATGTAGAATGCAGGGAAAGCAGCCGCATGGAGAGACACTGTAGTGCTGCTTAAGATTGTGGGTGTTTTCAGCGGTTTGATGGATAAATATGAATTTGTAGCTAAGTTGTTAAAGTTGCCAAAAAGCATTTCCTGTTGTTTACATCCTTGTTTACGTCCTTGCTACAACATACCTTTAACGCTAGAAACTTTGCATGTAATAAATCAATTTTAACAATTTACAGGTTGGGCTCCCAATCCACACCTTTGTCAAATGCTAGAGCTATATATTTCTTTCTATGTTAATTCTCTGGAACATAATTGAAATTAAAGTGTAAGCACTTTGTGTTGTGTCCTTTAAAAGCCCAAATACAGAAACAGAAGAAGCTCTGTGGAATAGCAGCGGTTAAACAGCATTTTAACATAACAAGCGCTTCTGGCCACACCCATTTGCTGCGCGGGTAGTCTGCGAGTTGTATTTGCGCGTGATCTAAAGATCTCATTAACCTGGATGTATTATTTTGTAGTCCCCAAACTTCGTTTGCTGTAGGCTTTGCTAAGCTAACTCTGTAAAAGCCAGTGTCTCCCTTTGCATTGAACTTTGAGTGTCTTACATTCAGAGATGCTGTTTAGGTTCAAACACAAAGTTGTTGCAAGCTTGTAAGGTGGTTGCTAGAAAATAAACTGCTAGATTTGTTGAATATCAGGAAAAGAGAACTCCAGTTGTACCTTGTATTGAGTGACACCAGCCTGCTTGTAGGGGTGATCGCTCTCTAGAACAGCATAATGATTGGATGTGGTACAAGCTGACAGGCCCTGCTCTGGCTGGTTCCCAGTAGTGCTGTCAGTGGATTGGTTAGGGTTGAAGGTGGGCGGGGCATATTTCTGGTTCAGGGCAGAAACAGCTGGAAGAAGTTCCTGAACCAAACCAAACACCTCCACCGCAGCCTAACAAAAGATGGCATTTAGACAATTCAAAGAGTTTGGCATCAACAAGTATACTGTGAAAAAAGAAAACTAACATTAATTGACTTGGCAGGGGACACTGTTCATTATCACATAAAGATGCAGGACTGCCAATTACATAAAGAAAATCTTACCTTAGGAACAGAGGCAGCCACAGGACCAATATATGCCAAAATAAGTGGAAGCAGCATTGAAAAAAGACTGGAGGAACTCAACAGCTCTGGAATATCTTCAACTGTAGAAACATGAGAAGCATCAGACAATGTGCATTCATGGTAAAGCAAATATTACTGTTTTAGGCTAAAACATTTTTTTATTTCTATCCTTTTAACAAACGGCATTGCATAAAACCAACAGTGGACATGTAATTAGTAAAGAAAATAAAGGAAACGATCCTCACCATCCACAGCAAAGGCCCTATGAAGGAGGTCTTTGGCTGCCCGTACAACTACGCTGACTACAGAGAGGGCTCGACTGCAATTCTTGTCCTCTTCATTGGCTTTGCTTAGCAGCTGTGACTGAAGATCACCATCATATTCACTCCTGCAATACACAGGCATAGTCATTTAGTTTCCATCCAAAGTCGCTAATTAAACTTATGGGTAAAACTGTAAATATTAACGATTAAAGGACTATTTTCATTAGGGGTGTAATGGATCACGGTTGATCCCTGATTAGTACAGATTACTACCCATGGCTCAGAACACACGTGGCCTGTGGATTAATTCAACATTTGTTTTACTGGTAGATTAATCCTAAATTTGTAACGATCACAGAGAGATCGCCTCTTGTATCAGTCAAATAACATATATAAAAGCATTTAGGCTTTCCTGTCAAATATAAAGATGACGAAAAAAGTTGTAAAGGGTTATTCGGGATGTGGCTGTGTTTATTAAAGGTGTTTTCTGTCACTACTTGTTTAGCCTGCATCAATGCATTCAGTGTAGGCTGCATGATTAATAAGTAAAAGATCGGGATCTTAACACCCAAGCAACAGTAATAATTAATGACGGTGATTTGCATATGTTTATTAATCATTCAAACAGCTGCCTCAAATCTGTGTTTGAAAACACAAAACTCAAGAAAGTGAATCAGTCTTTAGTCTTTTAGAGTTAATTATGCATTACAAAAATGGCAAATAACAGAAGTACTTAACAGTTTATAGTTTAGATATAACCACTGATGTCTATAGTAGTCTATAGTCTATAGCAGTGGTCACCAAACTTGTTCCTGGAGGGCCAGTGTCCTGGAGATTTTAGCTCCAACCCTAATCAAACACACCTGAACAAGCTAAGCAAGGCCTTACTTGGTATACTTGAAACATCCAAGCAGGTGCGTTGAGGCAAGTTGGAGCTAAATCCTGCAGGGACACCGGCCCTCCAGGACCGAGATTGGTGACCCCTGGTCTATAGAATAAAATCAACGTTTTAACGACGCTCAAAAATGAAAGTTGTAGGCTGCAATCATATTACGTAACCAAGAGGTGGCGACAACCAGCCATCAAAAGTATGCCACTGAATAATTCTTCAAAAATGACACGTCTAGCAATTAAACAAAGTTTTATGAGTGAATAACTGAATCATTTATTGAAAATGAGACTAAAATTAATATGGGTTGCACAAAGTATGTTAGATTTATACATGTAGTGTTATCAGCAACAGTAGTAGTAACAGTAAATTTTTCACAGTACTGAATATTTTACAATTTATTTTTATTCAGCTGATTATTTCTTCATTTAATTTTTAATAAAAGTACAGTTTCCAAGTTCTGTTTGTTAAAACCAAAAAGTTCTTGCAGTGCTGTTTTTGTAATAAATTGAAAGCAAATTACATTTGTCTCCTCCCCTTCTTGGCTGATTCAAAAAATGATCCGATCCGTGACTAAAAAACCCATTATGTGATCCGAACCATAAGATTTGTAATCTGTTACACCCCTATTCATTAATGTGTTCCAAACACGCTTATTTTATCTCTTACAACAAAATCATTGTTCAATGTCTGCTCCTGAATACTGTTAGACTCTCAAGAAAACTATAAAGCACTGTTTATTTAACTTTCATCTCTGTATGTGAGAGATGAAAGAGTAAGTAGTAAGTTTAACAAATAGATTTGCTTCAAATCATCCTAATCGCAGTGTCCGCATATTCAGAAATATCAGTTTGTTGGCAAAAGCCTCTAAACGCTACTTGCCTTTGACAGCAAAAGGCACTATATCCAGAGAACCAATCAGAAGGCGCATTTCGAATCATATGTTTTAAATGTAGCAGCGCTCTTTAGTGATTTTTCTATGTTATTTCAATGTCTTGTCCCAATAGATGGATTTAGAGGTTTTTGCAAAAAAAAGCACAAGTGGATTTAGCTGGTTGATGCAAAAGAAAGTTATTTACTAGCTAATAACCCTATTACCTATAAAATAAAACATATGAACCTTATCAGAGAAGCCTGATAGAAAATGCTCATTTACAAGAAAAGAGGTCTGATGGGTTTTGCATCTAAATATATGTGTGTGTGTGTGTGTGTGTGTGTGTGTGTGTGTGTGTGTGTGTGTGTGTGTGTGTGTGTGTGTGTATGTATATATATATATATATATGCTAGTAATTAAGTATAATTTATGCAAACGCATATCAATCTAAATCTAAATGAATAAAATCATTCCAAATAAAGCTATTCAATCCATCTGGTGGAATTATATTCATATCGCACTATATATTTCAGGAAAACAAAATATCACAATGTCAGATTTGTCCAATATTGTGCATACTTGAATGTGCGAATGTGTTTTCACTGTATTTATGAACATTCTTTCTTATCAAAAAATTTTTTTTATCCTTCTCATTTATGCACAAACTGTTTATGAGCATTTTCAAAATTTATGCGCATCTTGGCAATAATATCAAACATCTTTGTATGCAACATTTCGAAATGCGCATTAAAATAAGTTCATGAAAAGTAGGGGTGGGGCGGTTCAAAAAAATGCTGGATTTGATTGGGTTTACATTTCAAAAAATAAGTCATATTGTAACATGAATAACATTTATAAATGGCACAAATCAGCATAAAATATATAGTCATAATCTATCATTTACAGTATTTAATGTAGTTATTTTCAAAGTATTTAATTAGTTATTCTCAAAGCAATGTATTATGATTTTACTCAGTCAGTTTTCATTTAGTCTATTGTTATTGATTAATGTTAATGATGGCAGCGTGCTAGTTTTGGCTGCTGTCTTTTAAAAAATTCTTTCATAAAAGTATACTTTCACTGCTTTTACACCTGTATATCGATTGTTTTGTTCCAAAATGGATTAAAATTGTTACAATGTTGCTCTTTGTTCTTGGTGCGGTTCGCTTCCACACGGCAAACTTTTCAAACAAACCAAAATACTTCATGTGAGAGTAAACTCTCCTTACATTTTCAGTTTCACAGTTAATTTTCATTGTCTCACAGACTCAGCTCAGCTGTCATACGTCACTATTTTAATTTATGATTATGAGCAATAAGACATTAAAAGTGAAAAGCTGCGCTTTAATTTTGAATGTCGACAGACATCATCAACAAATCTAAATCAAGGTAAGGGCTTCTCATACATAGCCTCATTTTAGTTGTCAAGAGTGGTAAAAATCTATCTATCGAATCAATCAATGCCCGTCATTTTATTTTAACATTTAGTTATTTTAAAATAAGAATAAAATATTTAATAACTTTGTTTTCATTATTAATTATGAGCTTTAAAAACACTGGCTAGAATTCTGCACTACAGGCTTACATCATAGAGAGAAATAACATATGAACCAAGACTGCAGTCAGATCACGAAGCAGATGAATGTTGATCTTTCTTTCGAGTTGTCAGTGCAGAAATAGGCCTATTACAAAATAATATAAAATTAAAATCTGAAAAATGATCAGACGGTAATTTCAGTTAGTGTCCTAACGGATAAACAGCTATCATTACCATTTCATCATGCCTTCACTTGTGTAATCGATTGTGCAATCGATTAAACGCACATTTACCAGTAGGAATGATGATATCCCACCCTACTCATAATTCTCCTTCATTTAGCCGTATATATGGCTATTATATAGCCATAATACACTGTCATATAGCCTGGTTCGCTAGTTCATTGAATCGTACTGCAATCGATTCGGTCCAGAGTTTGTTTCAATCATTTTTTTCGCTCATTCAGGCGATCTCAGACTGATTGTTTGGGTGTGGATCAGGGCACTATTGCGCTATTCACATATACCAAACGAACCGCACTAAAACAAATGTCTAGGTGTAAAAGCACCCTCAGACTTTGCTGACTATTACATACGAGTATTCCAGTGTTGCTACATACATTGATCCTATATTTTACGGTGCAAGAACTAGAAAAGAAAAAAGAGAGAAACGCTCACAAGTACGAGTATTGATTTTCCACTGCGTCTTGCGCTGGAATCTTTAAACTGATATAACCTGAGACATGTGTTAGCAGCACTAAAGAGAGAGAGAGAGTGCCCGTCAAATGGAAAAAGAAAATAAAGCTAAAACTTTCATTACACTTGAATTCGGTTGCCTTGCCACGATTATTATTATTATTATTATATATATATTTTTTATGAACCAGGCCATCCCTAAAGGAATCAGTTAATAATAGGCAGCATCTCTAATAAATGATGTTATCTGAAGTACAGACCTGTAATAAAGAATCTGAGGGATCTGGCCTCTGGTCTGATTGGTGCCATTGCTGCTCAAGCTGCAGGTGCTGAAGGTAAAGGCGACTCCATCAGAGCATTGCACGGTGGTAATGCCTCCGTCCCCATTGGCTGTGCGGCTGCCATAGTTACGCAGACGAACGGCGTATTTCACATTTTCCTGCAAGAGCAACAGGGTGTGAGTGAGTCTGTGCTGAAGTTTATTCTTTGCATGATTCAAGTGTAAAAATTCACAGCACCTTCAGAGGAACAGCTTTGTCCAGACGGATCTCGGCGATGTCACTGGGGGAGTCATCAGTGCAGTAAGTGCCTTTGACCAGTTCTAGAGATGTCCATCTGTGGGAGTGGGCGGAATCTCCAGGGTGCTCCGTCTGAGCCTGATAACACAGGACAGATGGACAGAACGAGAACACAGAGGAAAAAACACAACCGGGTTAGACTTCAGCATAATCAATCCACATGCTTTAGGCACTGGTTCATGTAAAAATGAATTTGTCTTAAACCAACTTGATACCAAGTACTGTATTTTCCAGAATATGTTCCATTATTATCATTAGGAACAAGCTGTGGCTTGTATTCCAAATCAATCCAGAATAAAACTTCAAGTATGCAATAAAGTAGGGCTGAGCAATTTATTGTTTCAGCATCGATATTGCAATGTGTGTATCCGCAAGTCACATCACAGTATTAGATTAAAAGAAAGATATTATTCAATATTATGTTTATATTATTGTACACATGCCCATGTTATTTTACATATTTAATATTTTACATTTTACATTCCTGTCCAACCAAATCGCACATAGAAAGCAAATTGCATCATATTGAACAACCTCAAGACATTGCGCTTTATAAATAGAGCAAACCTTTTGGAAGCATTAAAAATGTCCACAAATATCCAAAATCTTTACACACAATGACTTTTCATAGACTGCATGTCACTGAGGAAAAAATAAAGGATGTCAACTGGATGATGACTGAAATCACCAAACAGCCTTAAACAATTACTAAATGGAACTAATCAAAAATGGAAGGAAGGGCCGAAAGAAGGAAGTACTGAAAAAGGAATGGAAAGAAGAATAAACTAAGAAAGGAAGGATGAATGGATGAATGAATGAAGAAAGGAACAAAAATATGAACGAAGGAACAAACAAATGAAGGGAGGAACAAAGGAAGGATCAAATTAATGAAGGATTCAAGGAAGGATTGAATCAACTATGGGTGGAAGGAAGAGTGAATGAATGAACGAACAAAGGACCTAATGAAGGAAGGAATAAAAATATGAACGAACGAATAAATGAATGAGCAAACGAATGAAGGTAGGGACGAAGGAAGGAACAAATTAATGAAGGAAGGATTCAAGGAAGGACTGAATCAACTATGGGTGGAAGGAAGGAACAAGCGAATTAATGAATGAACAAAGGACCTAATGAAGGAAGGAACAAAAATATGAATGAACGAGCAAACGAACAAAGGGAGGGAGGAACGAATGAAGGAACAAATGAATGAAGGAAGGAAGGAACAAAGAAATTAATGAATAAAGGAAGGACAGAACCCACAAACAAAGGAAGGAAGGTTGGAAGGATTAAATTAATATAGGAAGATCACTAAATGCCCAAAAAAATGTTAAGTTTACTGTACAAATTACATGTACAAAAGTATTTACTACTCTTGAGTACTTTTGAAAGGGCTACTTTTTACTTATACTTTGAGTAATGTTTACAACAGATACTTTTACTCTATTTGCACTGCATTTTGGGCATATACTTGTACTTTTACTCAAGTATGAATTCTCAGTACTCCTTCTACCACTGATCACAATATATATCGCAGCAAAACAAAATATCACAATGTCAGATATTTCCAATATCATGCTGCCCTACAGTAAAGTGCAGCAAAATAATGTGTTAATAAGATAAGTAAATAAGATAAAATGTTAATAAGATAAAAGTAAAATAATTTTTTTTATTAAAAAAGGTTTTAAGATTACTTAGCTAACCCAATTGGCAGATTATTTTACTTGTTTTTAACCCTCAGGGGTCTGAGGTGATTTTGGGGCCCCTGAGATATTTTGACATGCCCTGACATTTGTGTGTATTTCAGCTGCTTTTTACATAGTACTGACCAACATGTATTATTTTTTTTTTGTATTCAGCACATACTGTGCTACAATTATATGTAAGAAATATTGATGTACATGATTGCGTTTTTTAGAAAAAAAAAATATGCGTGGTTGGTAAATTTTAAAGAAAAAACTGTATATAGTCTTATAGGTTACGATATTTACTTCGCAATTATGTGAAAATTATTCTGTTCTCTCATTCACAGAAAACATTACAATGATTTACAATCTGTTAAGATTGATTTGGGTGATCTCAGCTGTATGCGTGAGTGAGTCATGAATAATTCACACCTTGAGAGACAAAAGACACTCCCCCACTCACCCATCAAGGGCATTGTAAAGCAATGTTTATCTGCAAAAGCTAGCCCAAACTAAATGCTTGTGTCCCCATGTATATACAAGTACACGCCTCACCAATTAAAGTTATATTTTTAGAAAGCTCTACAATATCAGGGTGTCTGCAGATATCATAATGTCAAATTTAAGACCTTTTACGACCTTTTTAAGACCATTAAGTATTAAATTTAAGACCTATATCGCAATATCAAAAACACGCGAGAGAAAATGTAAAAGCACAAAATTAGGGGTAAAATAAAGTTATTTAAATTGAACAGTACTAAAGTCAGGTTAAATGCACCATTGAACTACAGAAAAAACAAACATCTTAATGCAGATTTATACTTTCACCTGGCACCGCATCGCACAACTCACTAAACGGATTAAGGCTTTAATACTTGACAAATTAACAATTGAGATATTTTTTTTAAATGACGGGGTGGTCCAAAAAAATGGAAAGTAAAATCAGACGAATAAAAAAAAATCATTATCATTAAAGATGTTTTTGGGGGGCCTCTTTTTTGTTGTTTTAACAAACTTATCCCTCAGGTTTTTCCTAAGTTTTAAAAAAACTTTTCTCCTTTCCCATGGCTGTTGCAATTTCTAGCCAAAAATTATTGGTCATTCTGGCAAGCAGAAATGTAACTGTGATAGAAAATAGGTAAAAACTTGATTAGGTATTATAGCCTACTGTACTATTCACTCTTCAAATAAATCCCACTATCAATCTCATTTTATCACTAAAATAAAGTGAACTAGTGTCTGCTGTACAGTGTTTTTTTTAAAGTACAGTAAAGTACTTCAATTACTCTGTTGTGGTAATACTATAGTTGCTATGGTAACACAACAAGTGTATTAAAAACAAACTACCCAGTGCTTTAGTTTTTTTTTTTTTTTTTACAATATAGGGTATATTTTCTACAATTCAACACACTTTACTGTAGTAAAACTACACTGTATTTCATTTTATCAGTTCACTATTCTTAATACTACAGTATGCTGAAGCATCTCTGAAGAGCAAAAGCACTAAAGGAGTCCGATGGAGCGAGAGCAGATCATTCGCACGTGAGCAGCCAGCGTTTTGAGAGCTTGCAAGCAGTTTTGTGCATGAACAAAGGAAATCGGCGCGTGAGCAGAGATTCGCTCTCTCGTATTACAGCGCTTATGACTGCGCTTGCGACATTTGTCAGTGAAATAACGAGACACTCTGCCAGCCGAATTTATGTCACGTGCACTCAAAGCAAACTTCCACAAACACAGAGATGATGTCACATTCGCCGCGCTTACTGAGTTTAATATCAGAAAGCTGATTGGCTATTGCAAGTTGACCTTTTTGTAGTTGTAAATACCGCAAATTACAATTGGACTAGTGAAATAAAACAAAACCCTAAAAACCTAGCAACAACAACAAAAAGAATTTAAATGAGCATTAGATGTAGCGTTACATGGACATCGCAAAAATAAGACCTGTGCAAAAATATTTAAGACCTAGAACAGCGAATTTAAGACTTTTTAAAGCCATAAATTTCGATTTTTTAATTTAAGACTTTTTAACACTTTTTAAGACCCCGCGGGGACCCTGAATATTATATTTGTAAATATACATTGGCCAGTACTCAAGCCAAATCTGAACCTTATATAACAAAATAACTTATGATAACAGTCCAAAATCTAGTACGCTCAAATGTATATGTTATAGAACAATATTAAATACAGGCGACTGCAGAAACTCCATTAAAAATACTGGGGTAAAATAAACTGTCATTTTTTATAGAGATGGCGGGGAAAATATAATTAAACACTGTGCTTCTTGTACTGTCTGAGACCCACTTTACATTGTATACCAATCAGGCAGTGAAGATCACTTATTTTTAAAGAAAACAAATCTTAAACATGCCAATTTTGTAATGGAAAGTTCACCAGAAGCCGTTGGGCTGGATGTCTGAAAATTAAAAGTCTGTGTGCAAATTGCTAGATGTGTAGCTCTCGTGTGACATGAGCTGATGAATACAGACTTACATCATCAGCGAGCACCTCCAGCTCATACTCATGAATGCCTCCTCCGCCGTACACACAGAAACCCACCAGCACCACCCCTGGCTTGTCCACGGTGAAGCAGATGGCATCGGGGGAGCCATTCCCAGTGTTCCAGCTGCGTCCCTGGCTGGTTTTGGTGAAGCGGTTGGGGGTGGCTTTCACAGAGTGCAGGGAGTTCAAACCATCCACCTGAACAACAACATTCACAAAGTAAAAAAAAAACTGCAGTCAAGAATTGACTTTAAGATCATATTGATGCATTCTTGTGTCTTATTAAAACAATAAATAGCACACCAAAATATCAATAAAAATAAATAAAACTAAAAACCACTTCTGAAAAACTAATAGATGTGACGACTAATGTGATGGAAAACCTATAGTGCAGCTGTTTAGGGAATTACTTTACCTGTAGATGGAGCTTTGTGCACATCGCATGTCTATAACACTAGTCAAGAGCATATTATAAAACATGTTCTGTTCTATTCTATCTATCTATCTATCTATCTATCTGTCTGTCTGTCTGTCTGTCTGTCTGTCTGTCTGTCTGTCTGTCTGTCTGTCTGTCTGTCTGTCTGTCTGTCTGTCTGTCTGTCTGTCATATGTTCCATTTATATAAGCATAAAAATGTATGAAAATTACACATTTTAACAATACATTTTTCTTTAATATGACCAAACTTGTCTAAATTGTTCACGCATCTATATTTTTAGGGTGCATTAGTATGATTTTAAGTGCAGTGTTTGTTCAAACTGTTCTTTTATGCTTCTAAAATTTTTATATACGTATGGTGTTCTGCTATATTATGTTTATTCAAACTAAAACTAAAATACACATATAAAAAAAGAAATGCTTTCTTCAAAATATAGTCTTTTGTGAAACTCCTATAGTTTTGGAACCACTTGAGTGCGAGTAAACTTTCATTCTTGGGTGAACTATTCCTTTAAGATGTACTGTAGAGCCACTTTTTTCCCAGCAGGTGGCAGTAGGCCAAATAAAAGTAAATGAAGGAGGATGTTTTTTGTTATTGAACAGGAGCCTCCATGACAACCATCACCTAAATTCATGCGTTTCCTGTGCTATAACAAACAGCAAAAGCAGGATGCCGTTTTCTCAACTCTAGCCAATAAACACTTTATTTTTCCAATCTGAAAATGGACAATGTTAAAGAGAAGTAGATCAGCCACAATAACACTCTCTGTAACATACTCTCATATAGCATGACAGACTAGTTGCCATGGCAACAAGCCAACAGCCTTTTCACCCGAGCTGTCAAAGAGAGAAGGACTGCAGTAGACTGTTGTGGTCCTGTGGAAGACACACTTGCGTTCGTGACTCAGCTTCATACAGCACGACAAAAATGTTGATGGATTTTCTACTAAAAGTAAAAATGTGTGCATATCACTTTAAATGCCCCAATTTAGAGTCTAGATTAACATACAATTTCATTTAACAAATGTTTTATATATATATATATATATATATATATATATATATATATATATATATATATATATATATATATTAGAAACTAATTAATATCACACATTTACAAATCTTAATTTATTTCATTTATTTCAAATATTTCATAATATGTTCTTACATTATATACTCAACATAATTTAAAGTTTTTGCATTGAATAAAAAATTTCCGATTCTGTGAAGGCCTGTCCATGAAGATCTGATGAAACAGTGGCATATTTTCTCTTCCAGCATCTAAAATCTATTTATGGCCGGTCGGTAGCTGTAATGCAATTAGAGCAGCAGGCGAATGCTCTGCAGACAAAGACGAGGAAGAGAGAGAGTGTGTATGTGTGTGGCGAAGTAGGAGATTTGTCCCTCTAACCTCAGAACCGAGAGCAGATGCGGTGAGCTCGCTGACAATACTGGCCAGCAGACCACAGGTGTTGGACACGAGATGAGGAGAAAAGAGCTCGACCTCTTTCCTAAGACTCTTCCTCACAGGAAGCACTACAATGACCAGCATCTTCTCCAGAACCTCCCGGAATGTTGTCATGCCCATGAGATTCTCTTCCGTCTGATCAAAATACAATAAAAAAAATTAGATGAAGTAAAACCACTGTGAATCATGCACTGTAAAAAATGCTCGGTTCCATGTTTCATGTTAATAACTTAATTGTTTTCACAAATTTGAGTGGATTGAACATAAAACAAACAAGTTGTCCCATAAAATAGCTTGATAAATGCTGTTTCAACTCATTTTAAATTAGCTTGGCTTGTTTAGGCTTGTTGTTGTTAAGAACAATCATCAGTAATTTATTATTCTTCTTAAACTTACCGTTCTTTACATTTACATGGTTTTTGAAGGAGGAAACATGTTTATGTTTGTAAATGTTCTGCATTTCTAAATTTTGTAATATACCTCACTCATCAATGCAACTTAGCAGTTTTTTATTGAACATTTTTAATGCAATTTACTTTTTCTTTCTCATATCCAACATGCAATGTGGGCAACATTAAAGTCCACTGATCAGCACTTAATGCTCATTTATGGCCGTTTCCACTGTCAAAAGATACCAAAAAGCGAACTGTACCATACCACTTTTTGGGTACCCTTTCGGAAGGGTACCTAGCACAAGAAAAGAGTACCAAAAGGTGGAGCTAGACGCGCAGCTGAACGCTATTGGTTTACAGAGATACTTGACCAGTGCGTACACATGCAGGAGAATAAAAACAAAGGTAGCAACATTTTTAAATACACAGCAGAGACATTACACTGTAATAATAATAATAATAATAATAATAATAATAAATATATATATATATATATATATATATATATATATATATATATATATATATATATATATATATATATATATATATATATATATATATATATATATATATATATATATAAAATAACGAGCCATGGTCGACACAAGCCTAAACAAACCTTGCAGTCATCTTGATGAACAGCTACAAAGCCAAGAAGAAGATCAATGTACCCTCTGCCCCATAGTTGCGCTTCTATATTTGAAATATCAACCTTCTTAAGCTGATGATAATAACATGCTTATGATTATTGAAGCGTGTGATTATTCTGACATCCAATCCTTTCAGAAACGGATAAACGCGAGAGTGAAGCACAACCTAAAACATGAACAAACTGTCATGTTTAACTATTATCCTCACCTTTTGGACCACTATGAACTCGGAATGATGGAATTGCTTTCTAACAGAGGTTATAAGTGCTGGTGAAGATTAAAGAAAGGTTTGCACTGACTGTAGGCTATGTTGGTGTTGTTTTTGAACCCAAATAAGGACTAAATGTATGTTGTGTTTAGTTGTTCTGTTGGTAACATATCAGAGACTGTAACGGTCTGTATGTGTTCATATATGTCGCATTTATTTTATATATTTCATATTTCCTCGAGCGACAATGACATCGACTGAAACTTTGTCGTACACCACTCCCACCATTGGTACCCTTTTGGCAGTGGAAACGTAAGCCTGATAAAGTTGACCTTTAAAGCACCGTACTGTACCACTCAGTGGAAACGGGCCATTAAACACTACAATTTGAACCTAACTCTTGGTATGCAGTAAACATGTTAATAAAATGTTGAAAGTGCATCAATTATGTGTGTGTGTGTGTGTATATATATATATATATATATATATATATATATATATATATATATATATATATATATACACACACATTTTTGTTTATTATACAATTTGAACAGAAATTAACTTATTTCTAGTGACTAATTTCTAATAAATAATTGCAATAATAGTAGACATATTAGACTATATATACTAGACTATACATATTAGATATAACAGACTAATTAGTACATAATATTTTACTAATTACAGTATTGTGCAAGACACTAGGTATTCAGGTTATATGGTTATATGGTTAACTAGGCAAGTTTTTAAAGAACCGTGGTTTGATCTGTAGGCAATCGAAAAGAAAAAAATATTATGGAATAATAATGGAATAATATTTACCTTATTATTAATTGACAATATTTAAACTAAAAAATAAGACTTTCTCTAGAAGAAGAAACAGTATAGAAATACTATGCAAAATGTCCTTGGTCTGTTAAACATCACTTGGGAAATATTTGAAAAAGAATACAAATTTCACAGGAGGGCTAATAATTTTGACTTCAACTCTACATCTTAGTGCATAAAATTATATAAAGATTTCTCTTTTTTTTTATTTAACCCGCATAACAACAAAGCCCAATGGGTGAGGTTATCATTTCTGTAACAATTACAGTTTACTTCATTGAGGATGTCTTTATTTTCTTTATATATCTGCCACTTTCCCAGTCCTTTCAGAAAACACTTTTTTCAACATCATATTTATAATATATGTAAGCTCTACCATTACCCGGAGTTCCTCAACAATCTCAAACCACTGTTTCCAGTTTGAAGCATCTTTAACCAATTCCTAGTAGATAGTAGTTGTTTTGCATGCCACAAGGAGAATCTTACATAAATCCAGGTCATGTTTGAATACAATGTCGAACATAAGCATAAAAATAAAGAGGTTCTTGAAATAATTAGCCAAAGTACTTCGGAAATTACTCATTATTATGTATGTTTAAAAGTACTCACGTGGCTGAGTTTCTCCATGTGTGCCACCAGCAAGGGGAAGCGGTGAGCAAGGGCAGAGTCATTCTCTGTGCTGACCTGCTTGACGAGAGAGCGGAGTAACACCTCCCCATCATACGCAATGGGCAAGATGGAGGTCAGCTTGACCGATGTGTTGCACAGCGCTGACATCACCGCAGCCAGCAGACGACTGCTCGATGTGCGGAAGTTTGCCTCTTGAATGTCCTGGAGGTCGACATGAAGGTCATGGTTATTACCAGGAGAGCATTTGCTTCAAGTAAAGTGTCTGATGGTAATAAAGTAATAACAGAATTTTAAATACATATTGAGAATGAGGATCACTATTAAACAGTGTTTAATGGCAGATATTTTGGAAGCCAAATTAATCAGCCATAAATCTGTCAAGTGGCTGTGTGAGCTGGGAACTTAAAGACAGGGCTCAGACACATTTTTACGACTACTACTACTACTACTACTTCCCAAAACGTTCAGGTAAATATTAAAGCATATCAAAAAAATATCAGTCTATGTGGTTTAAATTTATTTTATATCTAAAAAATAATTTTCAGAAAGTATCTTGCTGTCCGTGTAAAAAAATTTTTAAATGTTGGCTTGTATGAGAACAAATTAGCCTTTAGCACTCACAGTATCTTACATCTACAGTTAGAGATTATTTCTGAACACGACACTCAAAATGTATTTTGAATTACGGTGAAAGGGAGTGAAAGAGAAGCAAAGGTGAAAGTTTTTGCAACTGAATTTGCTTTTTACCCCACACAGAAAACATCACGTAAAGGGACGTACAGCGCAATTTTATTTAACACTGACGCAAAAATTATCATCTCAAATATATTCAAGTCAACAGATATTTGTTAATCAAATTTCTTTTCCAAAACATTTTGGGTTTATATGTTTTTCCAAAACCATTCCAAGCCTGGAAAAGTATGAACCCTGTAAAGAGGTTTGATAGCATTTCATTTAAAGGTGTTCTATACAGTGCTACAGTGTACTATACTGTACTACAGTGTTTCCCATGGGTTTGAAATATACTTGCGGTGGTAGCCGGAGTAAAACACACCATTTACCCACATCACATAAATAGTTAACTATATGCGGCAAACAAAATATAATAAAATTTTTAACAATAATTTTATGTATTATTACTTTCAGGTTCAAAGCAAACTTAAATGCCAAAGCATATAATATGTAATATAGAAAATAAATTAATAAAACATACAGCAAATGAGAAATAAATGACAGAAAAAAAAAATTACAGACAATATCTGTCTAAATAATAATTCCAAGATTAAAAGGTATAGATTATTTAATTAAGTCGAATGCGTTGATTAACCACTAGGTGTACATATATTGTGCAAGCAGTTTAGACCAGTCATTTCATCCTCTCCAAGTATACAGTAAAGTTTTTCTGTGTCGTTTAGATTACAGAATGAATTATTGAATGTTTCTCTTGCTCTTGTGCGTGTGCTGTCAGCTGTAAGGCAAAGCGAAAGTAGGCTTAAGTAAAAAGTTAATGCAAAAACAAAATATTGTTAAAAAGCAAAAGCCGAATCCTTGACATTTTAGGAATTTAGAAATCCGGCCGGACAAATTTTTAAAGTGTCAAAAAGGCACCTCTCTGTGGGTCTGCATACTGTCTGTGGAAGTGCTGATAGGTCTCGAAAGAGGTTTTTCCACCACTTTGATCACGGATGTTTGGTTATATTAGGCGCATACAATATAGTGTAAAAGGATGATTATAATAATAAAAAACGTCACTAAATATGCTTATATAATATAATGGGCAGTCGTTAATATACCCGGCCAGCATGCCCAAGTAAAATCTCTGTGTGGGAACAACTGTATAGTGATAGCAATTCAGCATAATTACATGCAAAGAACCTAAACCTTATTTGCAATCGATTAATATTACTCAGTAGTTAAATAAAAGGTTACACTGTAACAAAGACATGTTAAAATAAAGCATAACTAGATGTTCAGCTGAAAAAGTATCTCTGTTAAAAAGGCTTTGTAGGGGGATTTCACATTTAAACATGTATTATTATTATATTTATTTGCAAAGAATTAACAGAATGCTGTTGGGAATGGGAAGATTATATCCCTCATGCTACCCTCAGCCAAACAAAACAGAAATGTAATTTTTAATTAAAAAAAATAAATAAATAATATATTTTTTATATTTTATATATATATATATATATATATATATATATATATATATATATATATATATATATATATATATATATATAGTTGAAGTCAGAATTATTAGCCCCTTAAAAAACTTTTTTCTTCTTTTTAAAATATTTTTTCTTCTGGAGAAAGTCTTATTTGTTTTATTTTGGCTAGAATTAAAGCAGTTTTTAATTTTTAAACACAATTTTAGGGACAAAATTATTAGCCCCTTTAAGCTATGTTTTTTCTCAATAATCTACCGAACAAACCACTGTTATACAATACCTTGCCTAATTACCCTAACCTGCCTAGGTAACCTAATTAACCTAGTTAAGCCTTTAAATGTCACTTTAAGCTGTATAGAAGTGTCTTGAAAAATATCTAGTAAAATATTATTTACAGTCATCATGGCAAAGACAAAATAAATCAGTTATTAGAGATGAGTTATTAAAACTATTATGTTTAGAAATGTGTTGAAAAAATTTGCTCTCCGTTAAACAGAAATTGGGGAAAAAATAAACAAGCGGTCTAAAAAATCAGGGGGGCTAATAATTCTTTAATAATTATTTATTTATTTATTTATTTATTTTTTCATTAGTAGGCATATCTATGTTTAGGCCAGTTTCACAGACAGGGCTTAAGCTTCTTCATAAAACTGAATTTAAAAAGCTTATTACTGTTGTGCATCTTTAAACAAATGAAACTAATGTATTTTAAAATATGTGACAGCAAGATATTTCCAAGACAGCTCAAACACGCATTTTAGTCTAAGCCTCATTCAAACTCCGAGCGATTCGTATCGACAAAGTGACTGTTTATTTTAATGGAGAGCGAGCTACATCTGACAACCTCCATCTACGCGAGCAACAGCGGCCGTTGGCGACCAGGTGGGCGTGTCGAGTGTCCCACCTGGAGCGACAAAGTAGAGAATCCTTCTACTTTATGCAAATGAAGAGCAACTATCTTAAGCCAATAGGAGCACCACGTAATCCTCTCTCAGCTAGCACAGATGCAGGTTGTAATTCTCCATGCTGTAGACCTCCACAGACCTGTTTGCAGCAGGTCGCCACCCAGAGCGACAGACAGCTACAAAGTCGCTGCTAGTGTGAATGAGGCATTAAAGTGATAGTCACACAAAAGGTTTACTCACAATTTATTCTTACGAGCTTTTTTTGTCTGTATAACACAAACAATGATATTTTGAAGATTGCTGAAATTCACTTATTGTCATCCATAGTAAGAAACCAAATACTTTGAAAAAAATCTTTCAAAATATCTTCTGTGTTCAACAAAAGAAGGAAACTCAAAGAGGTTTGGAATAAGTGAAGAAAGAATAAATTATGACAGAAAACCATTTTGTTTTTTTGTTTTTTTACTTAACACTATTGTTTAGTCTGAGTTTATTTAATTTTGACAGGTTAGACACTTTAAGTTTGGCTTATCATAAAATTCATAACCTTTACTTTCCAACCTGTTTCTTTAATTAAATGTGAAATATTTCAAATGATGTTGAAAACCAAACAGATGAAATAAATGAGAACAAACTCACAAACTATAAAATACTTCCTTCTGTGTTTATACAGATTTGTACATATACATTTATATCAACATTAGGTGAATAACTAATATATAACAATTGAAATTTGTGGACAAACAAACTAAAAGTATCTGTCATGATGTAGAATACCTGGTCCAGGCAGTTGAGTAGGTCGCAGAGACAGGCCCACTGCAGAGCCGGAGTCGGGTAGAAGGAGTGAAAGCAGGCTGTGAAAGTGTTATGACACTCTTGCAGCACAGCCTCCAGCAGCGTGAGCGGTTGACTCAGATATCCCTGTGGGTCGTTGTCCAGCTTGGTCAAGCAGTTGTCCATTCCTTCTGACAGGATCTTCTTCAGTAGGCTACGTGTTTTTCCCACACACTCCGCCAGCTTGCTGGACTCCTCCACAATCGCTTTGGTGCTGGCTGAATAGGAGACACAAAGAGGAAGTATAATATATGCTGTCATTCAGCGGTCTGAAACATCAAGACGAGTACTGAAAGATTAACTAAATTTAATGCAATAATATTGTGTTATTATAAAATAGCACATTATTATTAAATACAACTTCTCTATTGTATTTATACAATAAATACAATACAATAAATACAATAGAGAAATCATTGATCAAATGAAAAGATGCTGATATAAAGTAGCAAATTGATGACATATGCTAATCCCATTTAAAATCAGCAAACTTAGCACAGACTCAAGCCCAATTTACATCCAATGCAATTTTTCTGGTGAGAGGTGCTTTTTAAAGAAGTGGTTCACTACGATATCATATTTTAAACTTTAGTTTATGTGTAATGTAGCTGTGCAACCGTAAACAACATCTCTGAATGTAAGATGCTCAAAGTTCAATGCAAAGGGAGACATAGGCTGTTACAGAGTTAGCTTAGCAAAGCCTACAGTAAACAAAGTTTGGGGACTACAAAAAAAAAACAAAAAACCATCCGGGCTAGTGATATCACAACCGCTTCAGGTTAAGTGCATTCACCAGGCAGCGAAGGGGCGTTTCCAGAGGCACTGTAATGTTATAGCCGAGAAAGCTAAAATGCTGTCCAAATGCTGCTATTTCCACAGAGCCTGTGCTGTTTCTGTATTTGAGGTTTCAAAGGACATAACAAACAAAGAGAGAAGTGCTTGCAGTTTAATTTTAATTATGTTCCAGAGAATTGTAAAAAATATATAGCTAGCATTTGACAAAGGAGAGCTTCCAAAATCTCTCCCTGTTCAGTGCTGGATTCAGCTAAAAAGTCCTCCAACCATAATCAACGAAGCTGTGGACTGCTGTAGCGAGGACGTAAACAAGGATTTAAACAACCGGAAATGCTGTTTGGCAGTGCTAGCAATTCAGCTACAAATTCATATTTATCCGTTAAACCGCTGTAAACACCCACAATCTTCATCAAGCAGCAGTGTCTTTCTATGCAGCTGCGTTGCCTGAGTTCTAAATCTCAAATAACGAACTCGCAAAAGATATGCGAATGTTTCATAATACTTACACATGCTTATTCCCAATATATGTGAAAGACTTTAGTCAGATATTATTTTAGAGAGCAGGCAGTGTGCCTGGTGTGCTCTTTATTTTTCTGTCTGATTCAAGCAGCTAATCAGGCAGCTTAGCTGCTCTAACTGGACTGTTTACACAGCTTAAAAGCTTGTGTTTGTAAGGGCGTGACGTGGAGCCAATTTGCAAATCACAGCACATTATTTTAGCTGACCAATCAGAGCCTCTTGTGGGTGGGCCTTTCAGAGAAACTAGGAAATATGACAGTCCTTTTTATGTTAGCGGAGTAGCTGTATATAATCAAAGTAAAATATTTGAAAAAAAAGTGATTTTCTACAAGTGAAGCATGATCCCACATTGCTCAGCATCTAATGAAAACAAACAAGCCTTAAAAATACAATGTGGACCACTCCTTTAAAAATAGTTTTCTATTGGCAGCAGGCATTTTCCATTGAGTTTTAACTGAGTGCTGCACCTCCGTTTTCTTGATGGAGCACTAGACAATGCTTTTTTTTTTTTTTTTTTTTGCTGTGATTGGCCAAACAACAAAAAAACAACAACAAAATTAATGATAAAACTAAAACTACATTTATTTAATTATCTAATTATGATTTATTCCATGACTACATTTACATGAGCATCAGTGATCTAATTATTTGCCATAATAAGACAGTAATATCAATAAGGTGTTTACATAAGCTGCTTTTTAAATGTTCCCTTCATGATTCTTTTTACATGTTATAGCACATTCGATTAATGTCATTGCGTCACCGCGCTATCCACATTTCCTACAGAGTTTCATGTAATTTTGGGTGTTTCATTTTTATTTTTTTGACTTTAACTGCAGTTTGGCACTTTCACTCAAGATCATTTCGTGCATGCCCCCCGTGGAAAACGAGATATTGCATGAGAGTATGAACAGTTGGAAGAGTGTAGTTTTAATGGAATTTGATACCACACACCGTATGGTGAAAAAAACCTCCGCAGTGTCTGTGGTCCTTTACTGACTGGGTAGGTGCAGAGAATAGTGTCAAACAGCTGTATGTGTACAGACTATGTACTAATGACCAAAATCAGGATACTCCATGTCTAATTTCGATTTCTGTTTAGTTTGATCATGACCTTTATCTCATTAAATTAATTAAAAATCGCGGTTTATATGGTAGACTCTTAATCATAGAATTGTCTTAAAAGTATTAAAATCCTAATGTCTCAAGAGCTAATTTCAATGTCTAAAGATGGAGTCGACATGGCCCTGGCCTACGACCATTGCCCAATCCACATTGCACAGTCCCCTTATGACTCCACCGTCAGGAGGTGGTCTACAGGAGGATGGTCTCACATTGCTCCTTCTGGCTTTGATTGTCCAGCTTCTGTAGGGGATGTCCCGGCCAGCTGGCAGTTGCATGCAAGCCCTAAGCCTGGTTCAAGGATGGTCCAACCGTTGGACCATACTTGGTGACATTGTGTTCCTCGATTTTATTCAACTAATTTTTGAGGTGCACTTAGGCCTGGATTATACTTCTGCGTCGAATGATCATCTCGGTCAATTTTTGCGATTGTTTTAGAACTTCCGATTCAGTTGCCTACTGTATGTGAGAAATGACTGGGAATAATAAACGGCAGAAATCGGACAAACTATTTGCTCTATAAACAAGTGTGTTAATGACTGTACATAAAAAGTAGAATAATGTAATAAAAAATATCAGTTTGCAACATTTAACATCTAAAAATCAATGGAAGTGAATGGGAAGGAAAGTCTAGAGCCAAAAAGATTCAAATGGCAGTGCTCGCTTGTACGTGAAGATTGAGGTTAATTTAATAATTTAGTGCTTGTCTGTTGAATCACACAGAAGTTAAAAAATATTTAGCATGAATTGCAATATTAGTCAAAAATGTAATAATTAGATTAAATTCTAAAACCGTTAATCAGATGGCTAAACACCAGTCAAAAGTTGTTTTCCTATCCATCACATGTGTTTAAAGGACTAGTGTGACTTGAGAGCTTGAAATCAATATAGATTACATCGGAAACTCAAGGGAGCTCCACTTGTGACTTTGACAGTCTGACTCAGCATGAAGTGGCAGTCCAGATTCAGTGTATAACAATAACACCAGTTGACAAGGTTTAGTCGTACAGTGTCAAGAAAGTGAAAGCAGTACTCAAAATCAATGTGATGTTGGTCAACATCCCATTAGATGATTTTCTGCCAATTTCCAGTAATTAGCATTAAACCCAATGTATACTTCAGTTTATGACGTGGACATTAGCATATCAGTAAGACCAGTAAGAATATGCAGATATTTTTTGCTATTTCTGCACAGAATATTGTAACAATCTGCAGATTTATGCAGAATGATTTTGGGTGTATCGTAACTAAAAACTTTGTATGTTAAATAACAAATAATACATTTTTTACTTTTATTTAATGTTTACAATGCAAATCCTATTAGATCCATTTATTTGGTAAACAAAGCAAGTCTCTCATATAACACATCTACCATAAATCTACTAAAAGTTAGAAATTATTACTTTACAAACAGTAATTTAAATAAATCATATAAACATATATTCATATTAGCCAGTAATAATACTAAAATTAATTTAAAAACTGAATAATAATACATTTTCACACAACTAAATAAATAGACTCAATGGTAGGGTGAAAATCTGCAGATTTCTGCACATGCAGATTCTGTGTGGGCCTACATATTAGTAATCATTTACAACAGTTTTGCCTGCTAGAGAGAGTTTAAAGAGTCAGAAGCAGACCACCGACTTGCTTTTAGCTTTTGGGACCCTTTTAAGGGTGATGTGCAGGTAGTTAGCTTACATGTGTGTTGAAGATGAAAATATTATATATTATATTATTAAAATATTATATTTTTCTAATATATATATATATATATATATATATATATATATATATATATATATATATATATATATATATATATTATTGACGATAACGTGCTGCGTTGACACAAGACTCTTGTTGGGCGAAAAAAAATATATCACTGTTAATCTATTCTTAAAGTTGGGTTGAGACTTGGATCTATTCTACACAAGCTATGATGACTTTTACCTTGATATTTTAGTGCGGATGTATATCTAGGTGAATTGCACTGTAGGGGGCGTGAACGAGTTTTCGAACATGTGTGTATTCCTATTGTGAAATTACCACATCAAACGTGACGTGCTTACATGGATTCAGTTCCCTAGAGTGAATCTGATTAATGTTAGCTCCACATCTAACTATCAGGCACCTGTTGAGTTTATGCATTTGAGTAAAACAAATACAAATAAAATATAACGGGTGCTTTGAAAGTAAACCGGTGAGCAGTCTGACAAAAAAAGTGTCCTTCTGAATCAAATCAGCAGGATGCCCTGCTCATACCCGTCAACTCTCCCGTTTTTCCCGAGATTCTCCTGCATTTCAAAGTTCTATTCCACTATCATCCTGTAAAGGTATTTTCTCGTATTTCTCCCATATATCTCCCATATTTTCAGTCTTTCTCTGAAGGGTGGCAAATAATCATTAAAGAATCAAACCACCAGGGGCCGCCCATTGCTCTTAAATATGAGTCCGTTTTGAGCTTTCGCTTTGTTCAGGCATAAAAACACTTTGAAATAAATATAAAAATGGTGGGATTCCCTTTCCTTTTCATTACAGGTGCCGTTGCCACTCCTATGCAATCCTAAAAACAGTCATATAGTGGTGCATGACTGTCAGACGTGCTCCATAGGGATAAATAGAAGCTGTTTCTCAAACAGATTCTGTACATGTGATTTGAAGTGGAGTGAAAGTCTGAGTTTTGGATGCATGTTTAAACAGACATATACACATGATTATTAACAACATCTAAAGATGTCGATCTTGGTGGGTTTTTTCCAAACACAACTAATTTTGTCCTAAATGAGCATAATAAGTTAGGTAAGCATTTGAAAGTGACACCCCTGTTATTTAATGTAATCAAACGAAAAAAAATCTAAATAAATTATTTATTTGTTGCTCTTTAATCAGAATGTGTAAGTTATACAGTGAAGAAACCGCTAATGAGATTTGATAACTTGATCCTATTTCTTTGATTTGAATAATTTATTTTCAAACAAAAACATCATACATAAAATATTAACAAAAATATATTTTAACATGGTCAAAAATGGAGTGGGATGAAGCACAAGCTTATTATTTTCCCACTTTAAAATAGCTATTAATTTTAATACATTTTTGCTAATGTAGTTGCTGTTTATTTTCTTCTTTTGTAAATAATAATAATAATATTGCCCCACATGACAAACTGGCATATTAGACGCAAATAAGGAGTTAGGACTGGTGAGAGTGTATGGAATTTAATAACACATGGCAAATGGAAAAAAAAATTCTTCATTTCGTGATGTGTGTGTGTGTGTGTGTGTGGTCCTTTACTGATAGCCGCGTGTGTGGATCTTGTCGGAAAATGTGGCGAAAAGTCCTACTTCAATAATGTCACTAATATATGCATACTCCACGTCTTAATTCCATTTCTGTTATGTTCAGTTATGACTTTAGTCGGATTAAGGTAATCAACAATTGCTGTTTCGAGCTCATGTAGGCCTACAGTTCAAAATTTATGCTTAACTGACTAAACAGTTAGTAAATACAAGTACATCTTTTTGAACATCGTTTATTTTCTTCCCCAATTATCACAGTAGAACAGTTTCTAAAGCAGTTCGTCATGCATTTTTGAAAACAGGAGATGAGCCCCTGGTCTAATGCGCCAACTGGCTTGAGAAACCCGTTCTCAAAGACTTACTTTTAGTCATTACTTGGGTAGCACACATATGCTAAATGCTTCAGCAGAATTCAAATGAGCCATTTTTATCAAGATTAATCTCGATAAATTTTAAGATTAAAGTGAGATTAATCTAGATTTTAAAAAATGAATGTATGCCCATATATATATATATGAAGTGTTGCCCAGGAGGTACTTGTCAATGTGGGTGTCCACTATTTATATCTTTAGAAAGACAGCTCAAAAAATAATATTTAAAATCGCATTGGTGACAAAAGAGTGATGTATCAAAAAGGATATTTTAGGCAAACAATAGGAAAAGTTAAAATAAGAAAAAGCTAAATATTCAATAAATATTTAAATGTGGTACTAAATTTGCCTAAGCAGCACATGTGATTCTTGAGAAAACGTTTAGCATCAAGCGCCAACACAACACATGAACAGAATGAATGAAGTAAGACAAATGAGTGCAAGAATATTGTTTCCAATCAACTACTGTAAGAGGACAGTCTTAATCATCTTTGAAACATAACAGAAGCGATATTATACCAGAAATGGGGAAGATGTCACAGATGTAGACTCGCAACAGTCGCAGGCAGCAGGTGCCCACAAACCGCAGGCGCTCGAGGTCCAGAAGGGTAGCTGTGAACTGGAAACCCTTCAATCCCCTCAACTCCTCCACTCCCAACACTAGCGTGGTCCAGCTCCAGTGCAGGATACTCAGCAGAGACTCGAAACAGTCCTGAGAAAACAACAACAGCTATGAAAAAACATAGCACTGGGGCATGAACCAAAGATCTGACCTATTATTAGCTCTGCCAGTTCGTTTGAGTACACAAAGCGGAAAGGCGGCCTGGAAAAAGCAGCAGTAGTCAAGGGATTTCCTTAAAGAATAACAAGCAATGAAATAACTATAAAGTATAAACCCTTCAGAGTTGGCTGATGTACATCTGTTCCTTGCCAATTTTCCTACTGAGGGATATAATATCTAAATACAAACTAGTGTTACTAATCGCTTTGTACTTTTCAGGTCAAGCTAACAGTATGATCAAAATAATGTGTGAACAACAGCAACAAAAAGACTGGTGAAAAGGAGAGGCTAATTTCTAATCATCTAGCTTAAAAATTATATGTTATTTAGGATGGCATTGTGATGTGATATTCAAATGTCCAATAAATCTAGATTTTATAGTAAAATCAATAACTAAAAACTACTATTTTCTCCCTGAAATATCTCCAACAACCATAACCCTAAGTCCAATAAATATCCTCACAAGTATCACGTTTCATTGGGCTCATTTTATTGTAGAAATGTATATGTAAAAAAAAAAAAAACAGGTGGAACATGAAGGTCTATGGCAATGGTCTCAAACTGGAGGGCCACGGTTCTGCAGATTTGATCTCCAACTTACATCAGCTGAATAGTTTCTAGTAGTCTTGAACACTTGATTAGTTGATCCAGCTGTGTTTGATTAGGGTTGGAGCAAAACTTTGCAGAGCTGTGGCTCTTCAGGATTCGAGATTGAGACCCATGGTCTATGGGGTCCTCTCAATGATTGAAGTCAACTGACATAAGTATCAGGTTTCCTTAGGCTTATTTCATTTAATGTAGAAATGTCTATGTCTAAAACTGTCTAATTTTTTGTAAAAAAATAAATAAATAAATAAAATAATAATAATAAAATAAAACAAAGGAACATGAAAGTCTATGGCAGTGGTCTCAAACTTAAATCCTGGCAGGGCCACAGCGCTGCAGATTTTAGCTTCAACCACCTCCAACTTACACCTGCTTAACAGTTTCTAGTAGTTTAGTTTATTATTAGCTGTGTTTGATTAGGGTTGGAGCAAAACTGTGCAGAGTTGTGGCCCTCCAGGAATCCAGTTTCAGACTCATGGTCTATGGGCTCTTTTCAGTGAGTATGTTTACATTGGCACCAATAATAAGATTTTAATACGATTAAAACAATACTCAGATTAAGAGTCTAAACGTCATCATGAAAGAATCATTAAAAAAGTCATGTAAACACCTTAATAATATTATTGTCTTATTCAGATTAAGGCAAATAATTTGATTACTGATGTCCATGTGAGTGTAGTCATTGAAAGAAGTCAACCGATTGATCAGCCTGATGATTAATGAAGACAAATTTTGCCATTTTTAATGAATCGGCAGAACCTGGTAATAAGTCCTTAACTGTTACATTTGATTAGATTAAGGAAGTAACAAAGAGAAACCAAGCAAGCAAATTGGCCAAATAAAATGTATATCATATATCTGTCACTGACTGCACCTAATTTCTAAAAATTGAACAAATTATGATATTTTGTTTTGCCAAAAAGAAAAAAAGGATTTAAATGACTATGATACACTGAATCTAATCTACCATTTAAACGCATTATTTCACCAAAGCTGACTTTGCTAGGATTTTCTCATTTATTGAAGTTTTACATTTAAACTTGTCCTCACAAAAAAACTAATAATAAAAAGCATATAAACCTCCTTATATGTTTGTTTAAAAAAAAGAAACAAATTATTTCAGCCTTTTAACCGCACTATTTGTTGTTGTTTTTTTAAATAAAATCTTTCCCACACAAAAAATGTAATAAAAATTTTAGTAATGATATATATTGAGAAATATATAAAATATGACATAATATTGATAAAAAGTGGAAGACAAAAGGTCTTAAGAAGGTCCCTATAATTTTTTCGTTTTCATAGAAAAATTGGTCTCTCCAGTGGCGTAGCTGTCAAGAATCATTTTCTATACGCCCTGTGCTGTTTTATCTCGAAAATTATTAGTCTATAAGCAATTAGCATTTCAGTAGACACATACCACAGACACGGTCCTGGCAAAAGTGCGCTTGAGGATGTGTACAGGTTCACTGGTCTGCTGCTTTCCTTTGGAAGCGTTTCCATCATTAGAAGGCAACCTAGAAAAAAAAACAACAAAGCAAAATAGGCATGAGAATTAAAACAAATACAACTGATACAGAAAAGTAACACACACACACCAAATCTCTCGTACCTGTACAACAGCTGAGGTATTTGTCCAGCATTCACATCAGTACCATTGTTTGATTTTTTTGAGCTCTTGAACTGAAAGACCACACTGTAGAAGACAGTTTATGATGATAAGTTAGGCATTCTACAACTATCAGGCAATATTCATCGCATTACATCATAGTAATAAATGTGTTTTGTACCCATCATCCGTGGTGATTGTGGCCTGGCCGTGGGAACCGCAGTCACTGCTCGGTCCAGACACACGTGCCCACGCCACGTACCACCAGCCCAACTGAAGCAGCACAGGCTCATCGAACATCATGGCGTACTTCTCCCTGAAAACAAAAGACAAAACATAATTACACCTCTACTTTTATCAGCCATTGTCCTTGATTACTTTATATCAGTGTTTTTTCTTTTTAATGATGATGATTTATAAAGCCAGTCCTCCAAACATTCACACATTTCCATGCTGAGTAACATCCCAACACAACACACAAAAAAGTGTCACATATTTGTCATTTTAAACAATATATAGTTGAAACCAGAAGTTTATATACACTCTAAAAAAAGAAGCAACCATTTTTAAAAAAATGCCTGTTGTTAAATCATACTAAGCATTTACTATTTTAGGTCTAATAGGATTACCTAAATAATTTATATTTGCTAAATGCCAGAATGAGAGAAATTTTTTGGAGAATTTCTTATTAATTTCTAGACAGTCAAAATTTTAAATAAAAAAAATAAATAAATAAGAAAATAATTTCCTTGGTATTTTTTTTATCTTTGCTTTTAAACTGTATAACTTTGGTCAAATGTTTTAGGTATCCTTCCACAAGCTTCTCACAACAGTTTGGAAGGAATTTTTGCCCATTTCTCCTGACAGAATTGGTGTAACTGAGTCAGATTTGTTGGCTGTCTTGCTCGCATAAGCTTTTTCAACTCTGCCCACAAATTTTATATAGGATTGACATCAGGGCTTTGTGATGGCCACTCCAAAACATTTACTCTGTTTTCCTTAAAGCACATAGCTAATTTGTTAATATGCTTAGGGTCATGGTCTGTTTGGAAGACCCATTTGTGGACAAGTTTTATTTTGCTGGCTGGTGTCTTGAGGTGTTGCTTCAGTATTTCTACATAATGTTCTTTCTTTATCTATGCTGTAAAGTGGACCAGTCCTTCCTGCAGCAAAACAGCCCCAAAACATGATGCTGCCGCCCCCATACTTCACAGCTGGAATGGTGTTCCTAGGCTTGTAAGCTTTCCCACTTGTCCTCCAAATGTAACACTGGTCATTATGGCCAACCGGTTCAATCTTAGACCACAGGACATGTCTCAGAAAATTATTATTTTTCCCAATGTAATTTAGCAAATTGTAATCAGTTTTTTTTTTTGATTCTGGTTTGTTGATTTTCTCATGTTGTCACACAAGGAAGCAGTGTGTTTGAGGTTTTACTATTCTACATACTATTCTACAGTTGTCCCTCCAATGAACTCAAATGTTGCCAATTAGCCAATAAGAAACTTCCAAAACCTTGACACACTCATCTGAGCTTTTTTAGAGACATACTAATCTTATTGTATGTAAACTTGACTTTCAAGAAAAGTTATAACAATTTCTCAAAACATTTCTCTCATTATTCCGTTTAGTCACATTAACATCTGACTTTTTAAAATGTTCATGTGCCTTTTTATACAGTTTATGTAAACTTCTGGTTTCAACTGTATCTATCATTTTAAACCTATTCATGTGCATGTTTTGCACTGCCTTTGTTAAACTTTTTTTTGTATTATTTATTTATGTTTTAATGCCATACCAGCAGCATTGGCTATATTCAGAGCAACACGTAAGAACACTTACTGCTGTAAGTATTCAATATATAATTTACAATTATTACTGCTTTCTAAATAATCATGCATTTTACAAAAAAAAAAAAAAAACATACAAATAACAACACTGATAAATAAAGTCATATAAGATTTTTCAATTTGATTAATGAGAAATATTTAAAAATTCTTACATAAGACATTTTAAATTATTTCCTAATTAAATACATTCTCTAATAAAATAAAAAAAACAATAAATCCAATAAAATATGTTTTATCGTGAAAATATTCATACAGAAGTTACAAATTGGTTTCTCTTGCACATGACTGAGAAAGTCTTGATTGGCAAATTTCACATCTCACATCTCATTAACATTTAGATTCAAAGCGGGTTTCCTTTGTTAAAAGTTATAAAAACATAATTTTAAGCCAAAACTTTTATTTAAAAAGTACTAAATTGGCAAACTAAATTGGACAAAAACACAAATGTCTTGTAAATCAAAGTGAAAAAGGAAAAAAAAATTATATATTAATAAACAAGACTAATTGCCTATATTAAGAAAATCCAAAATTGCATTTAAAGACAAAAATATAAATAAATATAATACAATACTTATTCGTTCTGGATACAGTACTCAAACAGAAATAATTAAATAAATAACAGCTATATAGGCATACCGAGCAGCACAGTCATATGCCAGAACATCCGTCTCTGCCAGAAGGTCTCCATCAGTTTCATGGTCTCCTCCATCTGGACCCAGCTCAAACAGCTGCAAAGACAATCACATCCTAAATATCATCAAGCCCAAAACCTCAAGCAGTGTAGTAGAGATGGCACCTGACCTTGATCTTTGCCGTGTATTCTCCTCGACCACCAAAAAGACCCAAACCCCCTAACAAGATGTCAGCATCAGCGCAGAAGCGGATGGCCTCCACTGAATGGGCAGAGTAACCCCAGCCTCCTCCATGACCTGGGAAAAAAAAACATTGAACAAAACAACATTGATCAAACACAACCTGAATGCTGAATTTAGGTAACTTTTATTAATGGAAGTTGCAGAGTGGCTCCATTAATCACCTAAAGCTGCTAGTTTTCAAAAGATTTTAAAACAATGATCATTTACTTAATGTATGAAAATACAGTGCATCTGGAAAGTATTTATATATTCATATTCAATATTCACTTCTTCCATATTTTTTTATGTTACAGCCTTATTCCAAAATGGATTAAATTCATTTATTTGCTCAGAATTTTACACACAATACCCCCATAATGACAATGTGGGAAAAAATGTGCAAATTTATTAAAAATAAAAAACCTGAAAAATCACATGTACAGAAATATTCTCAGTCTTTGCTTAATACTTTGTTGATGCATCTTTGGCAGCAATTACAGCCTCAAGTCTTTTTGAATATGATGCCACAAGCTTCGCAAACCTGTCTTTGGGAAATTTAGCCCATTCCTCTTTGTACCTTTCGCCACACTCCCTTTTAAAAATTAACATTTTCATCCAATTCTCAGTGAATATAGCCAATATATTTTAGCTCAATAATAAAAAAAAAAGTTTCATTATAAAAATAATATTCATTAAAATAAAAGTTGGCTCATCTTTAGGAATAGAAATATAACACATTTAAACTATGTATCTCTTCATTTTTCCAGTTTGAAATTTTTTTTCCCCCCCAACATATTCATTTGCGTGTACTAATTTTTGGGCTGTGATCTTAAGGTTTTGTTGTTAGAATAGTTCCAGTTTTGGCTTTGGTATTTACTAATGTAATGTATATGCACAAATATATTATTGTAAAGCATCCCGAGGAGTGTACTCATTTATGCTGAGTACTGTATAAATATGGAGATTAATCAAATTCCATATTTGAAAGAGAAAAATGCCTGAAGGCATGAGCCTACTTAAAGACTGTACCTTCCGCACTCGCAAGCAGTATTCGGAGTGCTGGTTTCACTGTCCCTCCAGGAGAAGTTACTACATGGTGTGAAGTGGCTTTCACACCGGAAGTGGAAAGCACTGCACTATGAAAGCCATTCATTTGAGTGGAGTTACTGCAAGAGCAGTAAAATGCACTAGCTCGACTAGCTTTAACAGTATAACAGTATTCTGAAATTATTTTTTATTATTTGATAAATAAAAATGAATTAATAGAAAGCGTTTTTGATTTAGGTGCTGCTCTGCTCTAATTTTGATCTCCACCTTAGAGATGTTAAAAAAAATCTGTGGGTTTTTATGAGCTCACTCTCAAAGCGGTTGACGACACTGTAATCCTCTTTTGAGTAGACTTTCATAACAGCCTGGGTCTCCTCCTCAGCGCTGGCAACACCCATCTTCAGCTCCTGCATAGCAGCCAGTGTGTCAAGACAACCTGCATACAGAACCGAAAGAAGAACTGACAACTTGAAACAAAGTCTTTTATTACCTTTTTAGAAACGACACTATATACTGAAAAACTGCACAATAACTATGTTTATATACTGTCCACCCTATACACAACACTTTTTCGATTTTGATTGTAATAATGTGATCTTTTTGTAAAGCTTTTTGAAACAATAATTACTGAGAAAACATTAATTGAATGTTTTTTTAAACTTTACTATAACAAAGTTAGTTCAATGCGTATTACATCTTCCTGAGTGGCAGTTTAAAGTTAAGTTTATAACAGTTGTTAACTGCTCAATCATTCAACAGCAGCATTTTCATAAAATCAGATGACATACAGATCAGAGGCCAAAAGCTGTGCTTCCATCCTAACATGAAGCAAATCTTTTCAAAGTTCATAAAAAAAGGAAAAATATTATGTGAATTGGGTGCGTTTCCATCAAGGCCTTATGGTGCATTCACATCAGACACGGACAAATCGTCAAGCGTGAGTGATTTACATGTTAAATCATTGCAAGTTTGCGATCATTGTGAATAGACATACTACCGCGAAAAATTCGCACAAATGAGGTGACACAAATGACGCGATTCGCACGAATGAAGTGTTTTTGCACATTTGACATGAATCACTCGAGTTGGAAAATCTAAACTTTAGCAGACATTCCCTCAGCGTTAACCAATAATAAGCTTGCTCTTGTATGGGCGAGTATGGGGACACAGAGCTTGGTGCACCCCCTGAAAGGATCTCAAGTGGACTCAGACACGGTGCCGAATGAGTCTATACTGTTTTTCAACCTTTTAAAGTGCAGGGGTACTATCTCAATAAAACCCATGTTAGCCATTTAACAACAAAACTAGAGTCACTGGGTAGACAGAAGCCCAGCCCATGTGAATCAGCATCTATTAGTTAATTTGAAGTTAATTTGATGTGTGAATGAAGCGAATTTGACACGCAAATGAAGCAAGTAAACTCAAAATGTTTGCGCGTCTTTTTACACACGAATATCATGATTTATTTGCATAAGCTGCGTCTGGTGTGAACACAGCATTAGAGTGGCTGACTGCAGTATTGGTAACCTAGCAACCAACAGTAAACAAGGCAAACATAATGGAGTCATGTAGGTGTGATGTTCATTGGAGATTATTCTGCATTGTGTTTCCATCTCATTATCCATTTAAAACCACCTCTAGAGAGCTTTAACTTTCTTTCTGAATTAAGTCATATTTATACAAATTTTGTCACAAAATTTGGATGACAGAAACATAGTCAGTAACCTAACTGTGCAAATTGATGACTTATCTTGGAAAATACATTTATAATTGGATTGTGCAGACATTACTCATTACACAGATGAGATGTCTCATTCACAAAACACAATATATATATTTTTAATATAAATAAAAACATGCCAAGACAATTGCTAATTCACTATCATAAGAGCATAGCACCAGCTTTCCATGACTTTGACAAAATTGACCCTTTTTTTTCTCATTTTTTCTTCTCTTCTCATTTATTAATCTTTTTAGTATTTAGATTAAAAGCATCTATTTGATTTTAGATTGATTTCTAAACTCCTTATTTTACAGTGACTAATTAGCAGATAGGAATGGCTAAATTTTAATGTAAGTAGCCAAAAGGACTGATCAGTTTTATGAAGTTCTTTTTCTCAAAGTTCAGTGTGGGTTTTTACAGTAAAATAATCTTTTATTCTCAAAGGACCAAGGACAATTTGATTTGCCAGACAGAAAGCACAAAGGCTGTCACACTGGCTGTACAACGCCAGTCAAACATCTCCATTTCCTATCTGTGCATCCGAACAAAGAGAAACAGCAAGTGTTTTATGATTCGGAGTCAATCTTGACGGGTTTTGAGATCCTGTTTGACAGGAGAGTGCTGTGAACCGGACATTAAACAAAGCAGTGATGTTGAGTACAGCGTGTGATGTTGTCGTACCCAGGATGTGCAGAGCTCCATGGGAGCGGGTGGTGCTGGCATGGGATCCTGAGGGCAGAGCCAGTTCAGGGCTCAGGATGCTGCAGAGGGCCTGGATGTCGGAGGCAGTGGGCACACGAGCATCTGCTATCACAGCGTTATAGCAGCACATCTCCCGCGTGACAGGGAGAAACCTGAAGTGAAGTGAGAAGGCAAAAAATTATATTATTAAAATGTATTTAAAAAAAAAAACACACACACATACACACATATACACACACACACATATATATATATATATATATATATATATATATATATATATATATATATATATATATATATATATATATATATATATATATATATTATTTATTTATTTATTTATTTTTTTTTTGTAGTAGTAGTATTTTTTTTCAGTAAATATATACATAATGTTATGTTGGTGCATTAAAAAACCTTTAGGAATAGAAGGATAATAAATTTAAATTCAAATGAGTAGAGCAAATTTTCTATAAACTGCAAACTTTCAATTAATTTAGATTTTTTTTCTTTCTTGGTTTTTTCTGTTTCCTGTTTTTTGTTTGAGTCAAACAACAAAAAAATAAGGTCAAGAATCTTGGTGTTATTCTAGAGTCAGATCTGAGTTTCAATAGTCATGTCAAAGCGGTCAGTAAGCTGTGCCTTTGCTGAATGAGCACTGTGCTTTGTCTGACAGATCGCACTATTATGTCTTTCTTTTCTTTTTCATTATTTTATAACCTGTTTGTAACACATTTTAATCTCTTTTTAATCACTGTTGTTATTTGCTTTTATTTTCTTATACACTTGTCTCTTTTATTCCTGTTTATGTAAAGTATTTTGAATTGCAACTATGTATGAAATGTGCTATATAAATAAACTTGCCTTGCCGTGTTTATTTTTTATCTTTTTAAAATATTTTCTCCCTGACATATACATTTTTGTACTGATCTTTTTTGTTCGATTAAATAGACTGATTGTATAGTTTGTTTTTAACGTTTATAATAGAAAAGGTTTTAAATACCATTAAAAATTATTTTATATTGTTTTAGTTTTAATGACTATTTAATTTGTTAATTATGAACACAATAAAAAATATGAGAAACCAATTAGTTTAACTGTTAAAATAATAGAGCTTGTGATTGAATAGTAACCAAATAAGTTAAACAAAATATATAAAGTGAACATAAAAAGTGAAAAAATTTAATTCATAATGATTAAATAAATAAAATATCAATTCCAATAACTAGATTAAAAAGAATATTAAAAATGAATAAGCAAATGTTCTAATATATAATAATTAAATCAATCAAGAAATGAATAAATAAATATTTTTAAAACAAATAAATATTAATATAATAAAGCATTTTATTAAGATCAATTTAAAAACTGTAAAAGTTGTGTAAAACCAGTATATAGGTAAACAAATTTCAATACTAAAATGTCAGACTGAAACCCCTTGTGTATAACTTTATTTCCCTTCAGGAAACAAGATCACTGCATTTTATCTCCAGACAGCCATTGGCCTCACCTCCAAATGACATCATAGACAGGATCCAAGCAGAGGCCAAACCCCTGGAGATCCTCCTGTTCGGAGTCATTGAATGTGCGGCAGCTCCCATCCAGTTTGTTGATCAGCAGGCATTTAAAAGGAGGAGGTTCAGATATAGACGTTGGAACCAAACCTAGAGAGACCAGAATGGGAGTCAACAGATAAAAGCTTAATCATAAGACACACCAAAACATATCTGCCATTCAATTCAAAACAAGTCAGTCATGCAAATGCATGTACCAATGATGTGTTTGTTGGCAAAAATCTCAGAGGTGGCCAGAACGTGAGAGTTGATCAGCGCTTCGTCGATTCGAAGGAAGGTCTGATCGCCGCTCGCTCCAATCCACGTGGCCTTTCGCCCGTATTTGGCACCAATGTTGGGCATTGGAGAGGGCTTGGCATTCCAGTAGGGCATGTCTAGGATGGGCCGCCCTAATTGTCCTTTCTGTTGAAAGATATTCTTCAGGTTCCAATTCAACTTAAATTCTAGCCATTTTAAACTGATGGAAAATTTTAAACTTGATGACTGGTGATGGAGGAAGACTGCTAACTTACTGAGAAGCTCCCGAAGGTGAAGACCTGTCCATCCATGAGAAGCACTGCAGTGTGATTACTGCCTGCTGTCACCTGAGTACTGGGGCCAGGCAAAGCTTGCACCAAAGTGGGAGACCCCCTGTTGATATGGATAATTATTAAAATTTTCAGGATTTTCTTTTTTATTACAATAAAGTATTTTTTACAAAAATATTAATTTTAAATAAATTAATTTAATAAAAAAAATAAAAGATAAACATTACATTTAATAGACTATTAATTTATTTTAAATAAATGATTAGTTACAAAAAAATACATTCATTTGATTAAAAAATAATATTTTAATCAGTAATTTAATATTTAAGTAATAAACTACTATACCTGAATGAAAATTATTAATGATTACAATTTTACTAAAGTAGTTATAATTAAATGAATGAAGTTTAAAAAATACAAACAGTCATAATCAGAATTATTAGCCCTCTGAATTATTAGCACTCCTTTTAGTTTTTTCCCCAATTTCTGTTTAGCGGAGAGAAAAATAGTTTGAAGATATTTCTAAACATAATAGTTTTAATAACTCATTTCTAATAACTGATTTATTTAATCGTTGTCATGATGACAGTAAATAATATTTGACTACATATTTTTCAAGACACTTAGTGACATTTAAAGTCTTAACTAGGTTAATTCGTTTACCTAGGCAGGTTTGGGTAATTAGGCAAGTTATTATTTAATTATGGTTTGTTGTTAGAGTATATACAATCAAACAAATATAAATAATACAGCTTGAAAGGGCTAATGATTTTGACCTTAAAATGGTTTTTAAAAAATTAAAAACTACTATTATTCTAGCTGAAATACAACAAATAAGACTTTATCCAGGAAAAAATATAACAGACATACTGTGAAAATGTCCTTGCTCTGTTGAAACATCATTTGGGAAATATTAAAAGAAAAAACTAAATCATAGGGGATTTAATAATTCTGATTTCTACAGTAATTCTAAATCAAAATAATTAAAAGATCATATACTATTTATTAAATATTTATTTATCAAATATTATCTAATAAAATAAAAATCTAACAAAACCAATAATTATCTAACAAACTTTACAAAAATGATTAGTTACAATAAAATACTTATATTCATTTGAATAAAAATAACACAGATATTCAAATAAATATTTGAATTAAAATGCAATATTTAAATAAACTACTATAGGTGAATGAAAATAATGCATGGTTATAATTTTACTAAATTAGTGTTCATAATTAAATGAACTAATTAAACATATTTATTTTATTAAATAAAAATTATTTAAATATTATCCATTTAAACTCAAATAAAAAAAAAAAACATTAATTCCAGATGAACCTGGAGTTGCTGAAGACTTATTTTACTATGATGATGTATTTCCAGTTGAAATTAAAAACCTAAGTAGGGGCCAGGGTTTATTTTTGCTCTCCACCTGTCATATTTTACTTACAGCAAATTAACAATTCAAGGGGCGTGGCTAAGCAAATCTCCCCAAAGCCATCAAACTGACATCATCAGACTGGCGTTCCAGAGCAGATGCAAATGTCAAATTTTGAATAATCCACTGATTGTTTAACCTTAAGACATTGCAAATTTAATTGCAAATTGAGTTATTTAGAAAATAATTAAAAATGGATGTTAAAAGGTAATTAAAAAAAGTATTAAATGGTTGTGAGGGGCGACGCAGTGGTGCAGTAGGTAGAGAGTTCGCCTAACAGCAAGAAGGTCGCTGGTTTGAGCCTCGGCTGGTCAGTTGGCATTTCTGTGTGGAGTTTGCATGTTCTCCCCACGTTTGCGTGGGTTTTCTCCGGGTGCTCCGGTTTCCCCCACAGTCCAATGACATGCGGTACAGGTGAATTGGATAAGCTAAAATTGTCAGTATTGTATGAGTGTAAATGAGAGTGTATGGGTGTTTCCCAGAGATGGAAGGGTATCTGCTGCGTAAAACACATGCTGGATAAGTTGGTGGTTCAGTTCGCTGTGGCAACTACAGACTAATAAAGGGACTAAGCCGAAAAGAAAATGAATGAATGAATGAATGAATGAATGAATGAATGAATGAATGAATGAATGAATGGTTGTTTAGTTGACAACAGTGGTCCTCAACCTTTTTATCACTTTGGACCAGTCAGAGCTTGACAATTGTTTCGTAGGTTGCTAGGCTACCATTAACCGTTTTCTCAGAGGATGACAAGTTGACAAAACATTGCTGTCACTCTGAAACAAGATTTATTTATAAAGAAAATTACAAAGCAATGCAGTTTGGGTGTTGTAAGTTTATCTGGGATAATTAGTCTTACCGAAATGTGTATATTCCATACAAGCTGAAGCTTATCGGTCAATTCTTGTCACGTAACTCACGGTGCGCTCACAGGATTCATTGAACTGTGTGTCTTGTGCACGCAAGCCACGCACCTCCATTGAAAACAAAGAACATGTGCAAACTCTAGAAAAGACGCAATATGCGAACAGCCCCTAAAAGGCCTCTTTCATTTTTGATCTACAGCAGTTGATCTTCTTGCACAGCCATGATGCATTCACCTGACTTGTTGACAAATGAGTTGCGGATCTATTCCTTGGCATTTCGTGGTTCGTTCACTGGGCCTTTTCCCTACAGCAAAGTTACTTTTCAAAGATGTCTGTTTCTTACTAATTTTGCTACTTGTGGGTTAAATTTGAGCGCTCAAGTGACCGAGATGTAACTGAGAATACAGTCATTTTTCAAAATAAAAGACTTTTTTAAATTAAAAGATTGTTTAGATTCAGATAATAAATAAAACGGAAAAAGTTAACGATTTCTTGTGCGGCCTGGTACCAATTGATCCGTGAACTGGTGGTTAAGGACCACTGTTTTACAAGATAAAGCATGGATTAACCTCTGCCCTTCTGGCTGACTTTATTCAATTTAAATGTATAGAAAACTGAGAAACTAATGGTTCAACCAGAGCTGATTACATTGTCACACTTCGAAAAACGGCTTTTTTTTTTTTTTTTTAAGAGTATCGCATCAGTGGAATATGATACCACAATCTGTTAGAGAATGCGTATATTTTAATTCATTTATGTATTTTTTTTCTCCAAATAATTGTTATTATTTAATCTGATGTTGGATCAGCCGGGGGGGAAAACCCCACTTCACATGCACCACTATCTCTAATACAATCTGTACCTTTGAAGATATCTCAAGGAACTGAGGTAGAGGGAAAGCCAAGAAGGAGTAATAATAATAATAATAATAATAATAATAATAATAATAACAAAATAAATTTGAGAGAGACAGAAAAATAGAATGAATAGAACAAGAGGGAAAATAAAGGAGTACGTTAAGACCTAATTACATTGTGGGAAAATACTAATAAATTAAATTTTTTTTTTCTTTTTTAATTTATTCATTTTTATTTTTATTTAATATTAGACACGGGCTGCGTCCGAAACCACATACTTCCATCCTATACAGTCACTAAAATCAGTATGCGAGCAGAGTAGTATGTCTGAATTCATAGATTTCGAAAACCAGTATGCGAGAAGTACCCGGATGACTTACTACTTCCGGCGAGATTCTGAAGTGCGCATTCCAAGCACGCTGCGCTATCCTATGATGCCCCGCGAGAGAATTCATGAACGGGAGTGAAGCGACGCAACTAACTCGGGTTAGGTCACATGACCATGACAAAATGGCGAATGTAATATGTCTGAATTCCGTTCATACTTTTCACATTCATACTGTATAGATTGTACTTTTCTAACGGCCGAATAGTACGTTTAAATTCAAATGCAGTACCTACTGAGTAGTAGGCGGTTTCGGACGCAACCGCAGTTTCTACCTCTACTTGACCCCCTCTCCTCCCCTCCCCTCTTGTTTGTGTACTGATGAACGTGTTGTTAGGGAATGGCTTCAGACAAAGAGGATCTTCAATGGAGATGTATTCTGTCAGTAAAGTTTTTCCAGGATGAGATGTGAATAGTATTTCTTGATTTTCAGTTCATTAAAATAGTTTTTTTGACAATAGTTAGAGCCACCAGTAGTAACTGACCAATTGAATTTTTAATATCTATTGTGGATATTTCACCTAATCAGCAGAGGGAGTGAGACAGTGTGATGTGACATTCCATAAAGTTGGAGAGTGAGTCAGTAACCTTTTCCCAAATGTTTTAATTGAAGTGCAATACCATGGGGCGTGAAGATAAGTATCTGGGGTGTTTTGTGTGCAATGTGAACATGTCTCTGAGGTGAAACCCATTTTAAGCAATTTCAGCACAGTTTAAGTAAAATTTTAAGAAATTGCTTCTTAATAATAAACATTGTAAACACTGTGTTTTTTGCTATTGCTATTGTTGTTGTTTTTTTTTTTTTTTTTTTGAGTTTTTTTTTGTTGAGTTTTGTTTATAGTTTAAATTTGTATTTGTATTAGTATAGGCCTTTAACATTTGGCAACGAGACCGCCAATAATAAAAAAAAATGTCTTTGTGCTAGTTTGGTTACATTTACGTTCTTGGGAAATGTTGATTAATGTACACTGTTCCTTGTTGTAAAATAAATTAAATTTTCAAAAAATAGTTTTAAGATAAATTTGCTTTGACTGTAAAATTTACAACACTGAAAGACACAATCACTGCAAATGTTCCCTTTAAACCCTCATTACCTAGAATTAACATCTCCATGTCCAAGTTGTCCATGTTGTCCATAACCGAAAGTGTAAACATCGCCATTCTCCATTAAAACAACTGGAAGAAAAAAATATCTATTTACGTTTGCCATATTAAAAAAAGGAAAAACATCAAATATTGATCCACAGTAATGACGAGAAACATGAACAACGGCCTCTATCAGATTATCAAGGACAGAGGAGATTTTCACTCACCGGAGTGGTGGAAACCACAGCTGACCTGCACAGCTCGCAGCTCACAGTCGAAACGAACGGCCCCGGGAGGATATGTAGTGATCTTACTGGCATCTTTGTCCCCGCGTTCACTGCTGCCATCTGTAACACAGAGCAGAAACTGAGTGGAGGGACGGTAAAGGGCAAAGAAGGACAGAGAGACGAGATTGATGTCTTAAACCAGCGAGTGAAGCCGGGGGCCCTTAACATGAACCTGGGAAGAGAAATGATCTGGTGCCTCAGAGGAAAAACAGAGGAGGAAAAGAAAGATTGCCATGCATGGAAAGGAAGAAAGACGGGGAGATAAACCGAACGGGAAGTTGTGATAGTACACATCTTTAAATAGTCCTTCTCAGGGGTTAATAAAAGAGATCTGCCATCGATCGGTGGCACAAACTCAATGAGAAAACACAGGAAAGGTGGGCTTCTTTTACTCCACGCTAATTAAAATAGTGCAGATTAGTAAATGTGCTGTCACGCTGTGTACAAATAAGTGCAGCTCTGTGTTCCACTGATGTCTGTGCACAAAAATATACTGAATTTTGTACCAATTTTTTTTACTAGTTAAAATGGTGAAAGAGAAAAAACAGAACTAGCTTGAATTAAAGGGACTAGCTTGTTTGCGGTCAAAGTAGCTCAATATGGATATTCCGCATTTGTACCTGTATATTTGTCTATGCATGACAAGGTTATAATAGATTCGGATTTTACATTAGTTTTAGTTTTATTTGGTTTTGACTTTTTGTTTTCAAACTCAGTTAGTTTTTGTATTTTGAAATTGCTAAGTTTTAGTTTAGTTTGTATTAGTTTTAGTGTTTTGATTGTTGTTTTTTGTAAATTAGGATATTGGTTAGGTGCAAGATTCAAAATTATCAGAATAAATATTGTACAATAAAAACTCAACCAAAGATAGGCTACATTTTATTGACACAGGAACACTACCATCTATCACTACCACCTACCCATCATCAACAATACAACAGCCCACAAGATAGCAGCCTTAAGTAAAATATGTGTGCAAGACTGCTTCTGGGATTAGATAAACAGTAGTGATGTAAAGTTCGGATCTTTAACGAACACCAGATCATTTGTGACAATCTTCCTATGTTTGGAATTTCAGTCAGTTAAAACAATGATCTGACAAGTTTCTCACAATAACGTTTTGTAACCCAACTGAAGCATGATTCACTTAATTCTATTACGACTTTCTGTTATGAAATAAACATACAATTACTCAGAAGATCAGGTTAAAAAGAACGATTCGATCATGAACGCAAATTACTAATATAGAAATAAAACCCATTATTGAGAACAAATGTGTTGAATTATTACTTTTACTGTCTGCTTGAGACAAATGTAATATTTTCACCATGCTTCTGTCACGTCAACTCTTTGTTTTTGCCGGGAACTCTCAGGAGTAACATTGAGGATGACTGGAGGAGGACCGGCTTGATCTGACCAAAGACATTAGGATTACAGACTCTGAGGTGCCGTACAGGTCAAACACCTGTCGTAAAACTGGCAGCGCGAAGCAAATAGATTTACTTTTAAAGGGTATGTAATATTAGAGTAAATATTTAATACATTTACAAAGACGAAACCAAAGGAGTTTAGTTAGTTTTTTAATTTCAGATGACGATAACAACTGTGAATGCATGAACTGCAAATGCTCACTGTAAAGATAAAATCTACTTAAATAATGCACCAACAGGACTTTGCTACACAGTATACTAGTTCCTGCTGCTTGCTAGTAACAGTGCTGCTGCTGTCATGGCAACGTTGGTAAAATTATGCCTTTCGAATAACATTTTACTGTTAATAAAATGGTTGTGTTTTGTAAAATCAGCTGTATTAGATATAAAGTATCAGAAAATTGTTGTGAGAAAATTTTCTGAAATTTGATTCAGAGGACAAATAAAATAAATTAAAAGTGTCAAAAATGTCTTAAATATAATAAAGGAATAAACTGAATTTTCCAGAAAGATTTCTTTGGTGTTTTTTGCTCATCTAACTTCGCAGAATAAACAGATTACATGAACTGGAGAAGATTTCTAATTAAAAGAAGGCAGAGCCCCCAAGCCACACTTACGTATTATGTAATAATCACACAATAGTTGCTTGCAGATGTTTAACGGCCAAAATAAGACAACTGCAGTGCAATGTATAGATATTACGCTACTAAAATTAAGAGATGACAGAATAAAACGAAGCTGACAAAATTCCAAAATGACAGGTTGTGAAATCTGTCACTTAGTTAAAGTGTGGGCAAAAAAACCTCTGCCTACTTCAACATACCACAGGTCCATCACAACAAACCAAAACTTTAAAGATATTGTTCCTTCCTTTCCTTACCTTCTTTCTTTTCCTTTTTCATAACTTTATTTTTAATAAAAATGCAGTAGGTGGTTGTTTTCAGAAACATTTTTTGTTGTGCTGGTTGAAAGTCTCTTCACATTCCAATATCAATGACAATGACCTAAATGTATTTATATGCATTTAATATCCTTGGTAAGGCATAAGACTAAAAATGTTCATCAAATTTGTCGAGCCGCAGACAATTCTCAGTATTCTAATAAGTAGCCCAAACCTGCCTGTCAACAAATGTAGCTTTGAACATCTGCACACCCCATTCATGCAGACAGACCCGCCGTTTGCACTTGCACGCACGTTCACATGCACACAAGAGTGTGACAGCAGTAAAAACAATTGCTGAATCAATATTGGAGTTACTTTTGCACACTGGAAAAAGGATGACACCATGGCTGAAGTATTTCTGTTAGACAGGAAATGTTAGCTTATGTAGATTGTGTTGTTTTTATAAATGGGTTATAAGCACAGAAGTGTTGTTCAGCCACTGAAATCTTCCAGTGAAAGCTTGATGAGACTATTTTCAGTTTGATTGTTATTTAGTTTAACTAAAAAAAAAAGTAAATAACCCTCTTCCGTTTAGCCTGCTTTACTGAGCTGAAGTTGGTTTTATATTCACATTGATTCATTTTTGAACAATGACAACCTGTGATGCGCTCCCCATTTGTTTACCATGTTACTTTAAAAATTCTATCTAAAATAGCATGCAAGTCTGGCTTAATAATGAGTGTAATTCCTGCACACCGCTGGCCAACCACTAAACATACAGTAGTCGCTTTAGGAAAAAGCGCATGAGAGAGTGAGACCAGCGATCTTTGCATGCATGAAATTTCATTGGGAATTGTAGTATTATAAAAGTACTGTAATTTTTTAAACTAGCAAATGACATGATCTAGTGGGTTGTCTACGGTCATCTTTAAGGTGCGCGTTCATGATTTTTAAAAGGCAATGCTTTGGACGGCTGGGGAGGGATTGTGTTTTCAAAGCTATTCAAGAGTTCACACTTAGCTGGTGATTAATTATGAAGCTTGTTTGGCATGCTGGCCCGGGAGAGAGCCCTGAGCTCATAAAGTCCTCAAGCGCGGGGCTCCCTCCTGTTTGCAAGACGAGAGAGGAGTTTGAGCTCAGGTAGATCTTGAGAACTCCCCTGCTGAAGTAGCTAATGAACAGATAGTGACTGCTCTTGAGAGATAACTATTTAGTAGGAGCATGTCTATGGTGCAAATTTGAATTAGTCAATTAACTTAAGTTGCATGTTTTTTTTGCATGTTTTTTGACGGTGGGAAGAAACCGGGGAAACCCATGAGCATGGGGAGAAAGTGTAAACTCAGCACAGAAACATTGCCTGGCTTGGTAAGGACTAGAACCAGTGACGTTCTTGCTGTGAGGCAACACTGCTAACCACTGGGCCACCATGCCACCCATCTAGGAAAGGAGGAGGAGTAGGGGTGGAAGGGGGGATTCTTCAAAATGAAGATGGCTGTCATATGGAACTTAATGTATTTATAGTGGCTTAGGAATCGTCTGATTGTTGAATCATGAATTGAATAATGCGGCTGCAAGCAATCATAAGCATGTGATCCTCTCCAAATTTGTTTATAAATAAACTTCACTTATGCTAACGCATTAGCATTTTGGCACATCACCTACTGCACTTTTAAGACTGCATCGGTAAGAAGCTGGTTCTTTATTCCCTATATTTTATAATGGAGTCATTTACAAACAAGGCACAATTTTATGTTAATTCCAACAGCAATGGCACATGTAATAAGTTTTTAATGCATGGACATTATTGCTTTCTGTTCTTACAGATTGTTAGGTGGCAGAATCCATCAATAAACAGTGACACTTCACTCCTAAATTACTATTATTATTAATACATGAAGATTTATAACGTTATAAGAGGATTTCAGACAACATTCTTTAAAAAAAAGGCAGTTTATGACCTCTTTAATGATAACGAGTTCTGACACAGAATTATATTCTGGATTGGCCAAATAATATCACAGATTATGATATTATGACGATTTAGACTGGCTTTAATCGCAATCTTCCTCAAAATAACTTCAAGGCATGCTATTCTATTTATATCGGCAATGCACTAGGATCTATTTTAAGCCCTAGTGAAAACTATGCTTGACTAAAAATGATATCTTAAAAAAGATGAAATGCCGGTGCTATTTTAAGCAGGAATACCAATTTTGGCCACTGTTTCCCCACTAACAATTAACACCACATGACACTAATCTAATCCCCCTCTAAATAAGGCATGTGATTTAATCAAATATCGTAACACTGATACTTTTCACCTGACAGCAGTAGCACAGTTTACAGCATGAGGCCAACTCACAATTGTAAATAAGTAGCAGTAAAATAAAGAGTGGTATTTGTTTTTTTTGACCAGAGAGACAGAATAAGACAGAATATTGTGTCTAGAGAAAGCTAGAAGAGTTTGTTTGAAGAAAAAGGCAGAGAGAAGGGCATTATGGGGCTCCAGGTGGAGCCTGTAGTGAAGACCGCAGTACCTTTTAGTTTCTCCCGCATTAGCTTAACAGCCTGAAGAGGTCTTAGTCTGGCTAGCACCTGCTCACGCTGGTTCATAAAAAGGGGACCAGGGAAAACAAGGGGGCCTATGGGGGGAGAGAGAAACTTTCACATGCATGGGGCAAAGCATCTCACAAATGGAAAATTAAACATGGCATATAACACATGAAAACATCATGAAAAAAAGAAGCAAAAAAGGGAACATTCACAAGCAACCCACTCCCAGAAGAAACAAGCATGTGTAAGGTAGAAAGTAACAGTGGTGATCTGCTTTGGGCTGTAACTGAAGCGATAACACTCCATCTTTGAACTCAAAAGAAACTTGTATGAATTATTTGTGAATGTATGATGAAGTGTGCTGAAGAATGGATTGTGATTAGATGTTTCTGGGTGAGGGGTAACCAAGCAGCATTTCAAGTCTACTATTATGTCATATTACACTACAAAAAAATAGGTGGCCAACTTGTATACATACTATGTACTTAACATAAAACAACAAAAACTGGCTAAAAACTAGGGATGCTCCGATCGATCGGCATCGGCCGATAATTACATTTCATGACTCAATCAGTACTTGCTAATCTGGCCGATCTCATGAACTGATCGCAAGTGCTTGTTTATGAAATTACATGCAGAGGAAGACGCACGTGTGCAAACGGGTTACACATACAGTAGCTACTAACACATTAGGAGGTAAATGATGTATGGGGGCATGAGCGTTTGCTGCAATCGCATCACAGCAGCTAAATAGATACAGATATGGTGTGACCTCTTTTTATATTGTCTATTGGTGCAACTCGCACGAGTGTCTCATCCAACCTTATGACTCAAAACACAAATACAACTCAAACACACAAATAGAGGTGAATTGTCGCTTTGTGGCACAAATAAAGCATAATGCTAGGAAATTTACTTAAGGAAAGTTCAATTCACTTAAGGGGAAAAAAAACATCCCGCGAGTAAACTAGAGCTAGTTACATTGTGCTCCTGGTTTAGTTTAAACCCAGCATAAGTTTTACTTTTGTAAAATATTGACTTCCATAGTAGGGAAACAAACATACTATGAAGGTCACAGGTATTCAGCGACAGGTTTTCAAATGTCTTCTTTTGTATTCAAAAAATGAAAAAAAAAAAAGGTTTGCGACAAGTGAAAGAAGTAAATGATTACAGAATTTGTAGTTTTGGGTGAACTATTCCTTTCGGCATGAATCCATTAAAATGGTCAAAAGTGACAGTGAATGTTATCTTATATAAATAATAATATAAATAAAATATTAGCATAATAAAGTAAAATACACTATAAAACTTATGTTTAAAAAATATTAATCAAAAAACCCTGAATAAAACATGACATTAAACTGGTAGTTATATAGTTTCAAAATAATCACCCATTTCTGATTTTGAGTAATGCTATTTAAATTGTAAAAAAATCATTACAATGCAGCAACACACTATTATTCTAAAGGGTGTCTTGGATTATTTTGGGGTCTGGTCATGTAGTCGTCTCACCTCGGCCCTCCTCCAGCCGGTGGCGGCGGTTGATGCGCTGTCTCTTCTCCTCCTGTCGAATCTGGATGTGCTCCTCTATATTGACGCCTGGGGGAGGAGGGACAGGCACAGCTAAAATAACAGAGGTCCAGCACAGGCCGCGCCAATGGAGGAGACAAATGAGAAACAACACAGGCAGGTGAATGATGAGCATGAGATGCAATGCAAGACAGTGAGAGAACAAGAGCAGAGAGGTGATCCCAAAAAAAAAACACACACGTACGCACACACGCTCACAAAAACACACACAAACACAAACACTGCATCACTTGGAAATTATACAGACACAACACTGCCAAAGCAGCCAGTGATCGATGATGTCCATTAGGACTGGGCAGAATGACGTCTTCCACCATAGCGGATTGTTGAAATAAGATATGGACCAACGTGATTTTTATGAATACTTTTTTTTGTGATCAAAAACCAACCTACTTTGTATTTATACATTTCCAGAATTCTTAAAGGAGCAAGCACAGCTCTATAAAAGATTCCACTTGATCAAATATTACAAAAATAACATAAAAAATAGAAACAAAAAAAATGAAATATCAAATACACTGGTCAGATTTGCGGTTAGATGTTCTATTTGAAACACAGCATTTACTAGTTTTCTAATCTTAACTTTCTGGGCTAGATAATATTTCGCAATATGCACATTATTCCAAATATAAAATAAATAAGTAAATAAAGATTTTACAATGTTAGCTGCACTGTAAAACCCAAAAAGATAAGGTAACTCAAAACGTTTGAGGAAACTGATTGCAACAAGCCATTTAAGTTCAAAAACTAATCTATATGAGTATTGTGAACTTACTCCATTTAAATTAAAGTAATGAGATATTTAATAAACTCATTACCTTCAACACTGAGTTTAAAACTCCTTTCAAATGAGTAGAATTAACTTTCAGTCAATTTTGAGTAACTACACTCATTTCATTTGATAAAGTTGACAGTTGGGTTTTACGGTGAACTTAAAAATGTCATGTCACCACAGACTGTGAAAATGGTACCTATATATATTAGGGTTGGGCGATGTCGACCAATTTGGCATCATACGATGTTTGATGGGGGGAGTTTGATAGTGTGCGCGCTACTTGTCTGAAGAGCTAGGAGCGATCCGGGGGTGAGAAGGGTGTGCGACTTATTTGAGGACCGGGAGGGAGGGAGACTCACGGTTTCCGGGAGATTATCACTCATTTTCGGGCATTATGTGTCCCGCACATGCATAGAGACTCCCGGAACTTTAACAACTATAGTGAGACGCGATCCAGTGGTACATCTTTGATAAACTGTCCGACGTGTACTGCTATCTGCCTGCAGGATAATTTTCGTTCTAAAATGCTATTTTAACACTAAGATGTATTAGTGTAAATGAGGCTTAAGTGTATTTTTTGCGAGCGGGTTTGCGATGGGGGCGGAGGATCGGCAATGCCGGCTCAGCATCGTGTTGTCTATTGGGATATTACATATGTAATATATAGATGTGATATATATATGTGTGTGTGTGTATTATGTAGTGTAATTTATTAATGAAAAGTTGTAAATATATACACAATATAATGCTTATTCCTAAATATTTCTCTTTACTATAAATTTTTATAGTATTTTAAATGTGTAACACCTGGTTTTACAAGTTTTTCTGTTTTTGCTGTTAAACAGTATACTATAATTAGTTTCTGTTTAGTGCCGCATATTATTTGCAATAAATAAGTGAACCGAACAATTTTTCCTCTTATGTCTCATTGACCGTTTTATTGATCACTTAGATATGATTGACTTGGATTTAAGTTGCATCAATTTAAAAATGAAAATCGCAAAAATTGCTTAGATGTAGCTAAGCTACTTTTGCCAAATAGCTTTTAGCTTAGCTAGCTACATTTCCCAGAGATTAGCTTTCAGTGTAGTTAAGATGCATTTTAAGTAGAGAAGCTAATAACTTAGCTCACTACATTTTTCAGGTAGCTTTCCCAACACTGTCTAGCATAAATTGACTGTAATCTGCTTTCATCTGCCAATTATTATTAAAAATAGTTGTCTATTACCATTATGAAGTTAGCGGGTAAACAAAAAAAACCCCAGCTGTTTGTTTAATATATAATTGCTGCATTATCATTCTGCCCTTCCCTAATCTGAAAAGATTTGATGAATGTAGACAGTATGGTTCAACATATGACATGATCAGGCCCTCGGACAGGTTAGAGAAGTGATCTGACGGCTATGAAGCTGGAGTGAACGTAATTGGATGACACCTCTGGATGTACCTAACAGCAGGTCCAGCGGTATCATTTCCTTCACAGCATCAAAGATTCCTCTCTGTCTGGCTTCCTGACCATCCAGCTCTCTGGCACAAGCCTTACAGCAGCCACATGACGAACAGCCCGACTCGCCAGAGCCACAGCCACAGATCCTGCAGAGGACACACAAAGATGAATAAATGATGGCTATTATTACTGCAATTGTGGAAGTGAAATTTGAACCGTGGAACTGAAATTGTGCATATAAGTACTTGAAACATAAATAAATATAGACAGTTGAAATTATTAAATTATTAAACCCCCTTTGAACTTCTTTTCTTTTTTAAATAATTCCCAAGATAAGAAAAGATGAGCATAAACTATAATGTAAACACTTTAAAAAAAACAAATTCCACTATGCGCATTAAAAAATGTGTGAATGGACAAACCATCAAGCTGAGCACGTTGTAAAGCATCTGAAATGTCGTTTTGGTCATTCTAATATGCCTTAACCATTTAGTATTAGTGTTGTTATATTATTAATGACCTCCAGAGTCAGGAGCATCTGTGCTCTGCGTCTCACGCCTTCAAACGCCACCGTGCGTTCACTGTGTATCAGGATTGCCTTCTGAGGGGTAAGTCATTTATTAAATGAAGAAAAGATTCACACAGCTTCTCTTAACGCAGCAAATTCCGTTTTTACTGTTGATATTTGATGCCAGATAATCAGGAAATGACGATTTTGTTCTTTTTGACTCGCTGGACTAAATTGTTGCTTTATTCGCACGTCTTTTATGCGATATTCCAGTTTTGTGCATAAATTTTATTCACATCTTTGGATGAAAACATAGCTAATGACATCCATAATGTAAAAAAAAAACTATGGAAGTCAAGAGCTACCAGTTTCCAGTATTTTTCAGAATACCTATCCAGAATATTTTTGAGTTGAACAGTAGAACGAAACTCAAACTGGTATGAATCAAGTGGGTGGTGAGTAAATGATAACAGAAATGTCATTTTTAGGTGAACTATTGTATTATTATTACTCTTTTTAGTCATGTCTTTTGTAATCCATTTAGAACAGTCAACTAAAAAATTGACTCAATTTCTCATTTAAGATGTTGTGAATATTTAGATTATTGTGATCTTGTTGTGGAGCTGTTATTGTGTGTTTGCCTTCTCTCACCCTCCTGGCACTCTGTCAGGTCGGCCACTGCTCACACAGCTGGCCCCATATCCAGTGCAGTCTCCACACACAGTGCACACCATACACTGGTCCAGCTTCCACTTGTGCATGCCAGGCTGACACATCATAGACTTCTCCTCCTTCTCGTCCAGCTCGTCCTCCAGGTCCTCGTCCATAGCGGTGGCCATGTTCTCCACTCCAAACGCTAAAGCAGGGGGGGAAAAAATATGATAATCACAAACACGTGTTTAAACTCAGCTGAGAACACAGACTGGAAAATTACAGCATGACAGGAAGACTGAAGGAGATGTACACTGTAAATAACCATAACTAACAGAATATTAGTTATGGTTTTATACAGTATACATGCTAATAATAGCAAGCTGTAGGGCTGCACGATGTTGTAAAAATCTGACATTGTGATGTTTTGTTTTTTTGCGATATAAAATATATATATATATATATATATATATATATATATATATATATATATATATATATATATATATATATATATATATAGGTATATATTTTATATTGAGATATGCATATAATTTTACCAGTTGGTTTAAAAAGCGCTATTTGTAAAGATTACAGAAAAAAATAATAATCCAATGTAAAATAGCTTGCATAGTCTTCATTGAAGAAATAATTCTACAATTGATTTTACGATACAATTCCTTACGACCTGAATGAACCTACCTTAAACTCTCTCAATATGTTTATACAGTCACAGGCCTTAAAACGCATACAAATGATAAACTTTTGCTTCATAATTTATGGTAAACATCTTCAATGACTCATGAAAATGAAATTAAATCTCATGTTCTGATCTGCAGCTGGTCAACAACAATCTTTATTCAACATTGCAGATCCTGCCATATGACTATTGTGGATTGTGCAGCCCTACTATGCTGTAAATGTATTTACAATAATTACATTATTTAAAATAAATAAATGAAATCAGCTTTTATTTTTCTGCACTTTATGCTATCATGTTTAGTTTCTAAATATTAACAGAGCATAATAATAATAATACTGGGTTTATACAGGTTTATCTTGGAAAAAATAAGAACTATAATACTAACAATAATAAAACAAATGTTATTTATAAAATGTTATTTAATACAAAATTGAAGACAGTCCTATGAGAAAAATGAGCATTAGAGTTACCGTTACATGGACACAAAACAGTTGAGGCCCATTAACAAATATTTAAAAGAGCCTAGAATGTAATATTTCAGCAAATACTTTTCAAAGTCTAAAATTGAGGATTTTTAAAATACTTAAGGACTTGTAGTAACATTATTTGTAAAGAGAAAAAGGCCTATAGACTTGCTTTAAAAATAAGCGTGGTTTTTAATACAATTTAAGCATAAGTAACCACATGCTATTTCTGCAAAGTGCTATAAAATATGTACAACTTAAACAAAAATAAACAATCTGTTCAACTTACTAAAACAAGTCTGTAACACAAACAGATTCAAAATAATTATGAATGTTTATTACATAATCTGATCAGCCTTGGCTGCCAAGGTAAAAAATAAATAACTTTGAACTATATATAGCACAGTTATAACACATTTACAACATTTTAAATGTGTTTCCTATTCCTATTATACTCCTATTAAACATCTCATCTGTTTTCTACATTTAAGCTACCTGACAAAAGTTTTGTCATCGATTTGTAAGTGCAACAAATAATAACTTGACTTCTCGTTGATCATTTTGAAAAGTGTCAGAAGGTAGACTTTCCAGATAAATCCTCTGTTTAAAGAGCCTGGGAATATTCAGGGTCTTTGCCAGTGTATATTTTCATGGCTGGTGTGAAAAGTAAGAAGCCGTTCTCACCTTTCCCTGCCTGGCTCATAGCTCCAGTGTCTCGACCACACTGGCCTTTGTTGTTCACTCCAAAGGTCCAAACCTCCCCGCTCTTGGTCAGGACACAGGTGTGAGCTTTTCCCATGGCTACCTGAGTTACAAAGTGTCCCTTCAAATCTGATACCTGGCCTGTAAAGACAACAGAAAATAATACACAATAAAGCAACTAACATTACTTGTCATCTTTATTCATTTTGTGTAATAAAAAAAAAAATCACTAGTAGTTTGGTTCACTTAGTTATTTTGATCAAGACCAAAGACAGAACCTTCAGAGATATGTGTTTTGTGAATAAAACAATGCAGCGTTGAGTATTTTTATCAGCTAAAACTCACAAAGATATTATAAAATGTTTGAATAAAATCAAAAGAACCCAAAATTCCCTTATCAAACCCAAATGATGATCTGCAACATCAAGACTTTTTTAATGCCTGTACTGATCTGTAATGGGAAATGTAGATCCTACGACAAGAAAAAATAATAGTGCATCTTTTAACATCACTTTCTATTTTTCAAATTGGCTAAAATGTCTCTATAAAGAGAGGAATCATGCACTCTCATGTTAACCAAGATTATAATGAATAGATTTGGCATTTTAGGCTACCACCAGTGTCCCGCAGGACTCAGTTTTGAGCCCACTTATATTTGTTATTTATTTTTGCTCCTTGTGGACATATTGTTAGGAAGTACAGCATGTCCTTGCACTACTACACTGATAGTGCTGTTTTAAGTATTTGTATTAGCTAAAACCCACAAAGACATTAAGTTTTTACAGACGATAACTAGACAAAAACTAAATAAAAATTAAGTGATGATGATGACAACTACAATAAAAACATACTGAAGTTTTTGACAAGAATGTGATTGAGGGATATATTTTGGTAAATATCCAATCAAAATAAATCTTGGTGCAACTTGTTGTAAGTTAGAGGCATAACTTGCAGTTATTGAGATCCCATTGAACCATTTGAGATGTCACAATGAGATGTTGTTGGCAAGATAGAAAACATTTTCATCAAATGTTTTCAGAAGTTTTCTTCAAATTTATCCTCAACAAATTAATTTGATATATTATTATATTCATTAATTTAGCAACTCCATCATACAACTCGCTGACTTCTTCATTCATTTTGTCATGACAGTTAAGGCTGATTTATACTTCTGCGTCAAACACCGGCGTATGCTACGGCGCTGACGCATAGCCCATCGCCGTGGCCGTCGCCGTCACTGACGTGCACCTCTCAAAAATTGTAACTACACGTCGCAACAACGCGTAGCGCAAGCTCTGTGATTGGTCGGCTTGCTAGCGCCGACGAGTCTGGGCGGGACCGAGAGCCGCGCGAATGGCGCGAGCGATTGTTTACAAGTGTGGAGTCCCGTGAAGGAGCTCCGGATGGAAAGTTTTGTTCTTTGTTTACCTCATGGTTAAAGTTGTTGCACGTCCGCCGGTTCCTGCCTCAAAATGAGCGAGTTTGAGTCACTTGTACATCCAGGAAGTGTTCAGAATAGCAAAACAGAAGCGAAGAAACTCGACACAGAGGAACATTTACACCTCACTGCCCACTAGCGTTTCGGAAGTGTTAATGCAGACCAACGGAGACAGCGCGCAGAAGTATAAATGCCCAGCCACGCGCGTTGCCTGCGCCGTGAGTTGCGCCGGTCACTTGACACAGAAGTATAAACCAGGCTTTAGCCTAGTCAGCGTCACCCCTGTGGTTGCAATTAACAATATATTTGTGAGCGTGTCAAGTATGAAAGCCTTGGCAACTCACGGCTGTACGTTAATAACTGTGATGATTGGGTTTAGGGTTGGGGTAGGTGTAGACGTTAATAACTGTGATGGTTGGGGTAGGTGTATACGTTAATAACTGTGATGATTGGGTTTAGGGTTGGGGTAGGTGTAGACGTTAACAACTGTGATGGTTGGGGTAGGTGTATACGTTAATAACTGTGATGATTGGGTTTAGGGTTGGGGTAGGTGTAGGTGTAGACGTAAATAACTGTGATGGTTGGGGTAGGTGTAGACGTTAATAACTGTGATGGTTGGGTTTAGGGTTGGGGTAGGTGTAGACGTTAATAACTGTGATGGTTAGGTTTAGGTGTTGAGTAGGTGTAGACAATAATAACTGATGTACAGTGCCATCTTGCCAACAAAATAGTTTTGACATGTCTCCATAACTTTGCATTGTGCCTGTAATGTAAAACAAGTTACGCCCCTTAGGGCCCTTTATGTTAAGACCATGTTTTGCAGTCCACAGACAGACCCTACTCTTGGAGATGGGCAAAATCTGTGCAGAACCGATTAACGATGATCTTAATCAGGTCAGGGACAGTCCCTATGGACTGGGCAACTGTGGTGGTGGTTCTCATTTTTAAGAAGGGGGGCCGGAGGGTGTGCTCCAACTACAGGGGGATCACACTCCTTAGCCTTCTTGGGAAAGTCTATGCAAGGGTACTGGAAAGGAGAATCCGGCCGATGGTTGCATATAGGATCCAGGAAGAACAATGCAGTCGTACAGACCATGCTACACTGGACCAGCTCAGCTGTTTGCTGCCGAGTGTGACGCAGCTGGGATAATAATCAGCACCTCCAAATCCGAGGCCATGGTGCTCCATGGAAAAATCTCCAGGTTGGAGGAAAGTCCTTACCCCAGGTGAAAGAGTTCAAGTATCTTGGGGTTTTGTTCACGAGTGAGGAAAGGATGGAACATGAGATTGACAGGCGGATTGGTGCAGCGGCAGTAGTAATGTGGCTGATGTACCCGTCAATTGTGGTAAAGAAGGAGCTGAGCCGAAAGGCAAAGCTCTTGATTTACCAGGCAATCTACATTCCTACCATCACCTATGGTCATTAGCTTTGGGTCATGACCGAAATTACAAGATCTGCGATACAAACGGCCAAAATGAATTTCTTTTGAAGGGTGGCAGGTTGCACCCTTATAGATAGGGTGAGAGACTCTGTCACCTGGGAGGAGCTAGGAGTAGATCCGCTGTTCCTCCACATCGAGAGAAGCAGGCTGAGGTGACTCGGACATCTGTTTTGGATGCCTCCTGGACGCCAACCTTGGGAGGTTTTCCAGGCATGTCCCACCAGGAGGAGGCCTCAGGGAAGACCCAGGACACGCTGGAGGGACTATGTCTTTTAGCTGGTCTGAGAACGCCTCGTGATCCCCCCAAAGGAGCTGTCCAAAGTGTCTGGGAAAAGGGAAGTCTGGGGTTCTCTCCTAATGCCCCATTCACACGAGGCTTCAGTATCAATGTTTGACAGAGGGCGTGTCTGAGGTTGGGGCTGACGCGATCATCAAGGCAGCATCACCCAATGAAATTAGTCAGCAATAGGCCACTGTCTGAGCTTGTGTATTTGCTTTCAGCAATCTGATTGGCTGACGCTTCCGTCGACGCTTAAAAAGTTGAGCAAGTCTCTGAAGTGGCGCCAACGGATCCATATTGCATTTCGGCAACGCTTGACGTCACCTATTCAAAGTGAATGGGAAGCGTTGAAGCTGACGCCCTGTGTGAATGGGGCGCAACACTGCTGCCCCGGCCACCTGGCCCCGGAAAAGTGGTCAAAAATGAATAAATGAATGAAAACTAGACTAAAACTAAAATGATCCAGAAGACTAAAATATGACTAAAACTAAAATGGAATGTGCTGTCAAAATTAACACTGTAAATAAGTCAAAAGAGAATGCAGAATTCCTTTATCGAACACATGATGATCTGCAACATGAAGAATTTTTAATGCCTGTACTCATCTGTATTGGTAATTGTAGATCCTGCGACAAGAAAACATAAGGCATCTGTATGACATCACTTACTATTTTTGATTTGTGCTCCAAATTGGTCAAAATGTCACTATAAAGTTATGGATGATGCACTCTTATGTTAACCAAGATTGTAATAAGAAGATATACCATTTCAGGCTAACATCTGCGTCCTGTGGGGCACTGTTTGGGGCCCTCATTTATTTGTCATTTATTTTTGCTCCTTGTGAACATATTTTTAGGAAGTATAGCATTTCTTTGCATTGCTACGCTGATGGCTACATTTCTACACACACAGCAGCTAGCCCAGGATTCAGCTGCATAACTGATTTCTAGAATCACTCTCAGAGCGCTGCTCATTTGCACAAGCTTCCTGGTAAAATATCGAATTGATTTTAACATCTTGCTTCTTTCGTACAAGGTTTTAATAAATCGAACACTTTCATATTTTTCTGATCTTTTCCAAATTTATTTTCCTTCATATAAGCTCAGATCCACCTAAACAGTATGGGGGGCTTTATTTATGTTAAATTTTGGAAAATGGGATAGTCTTAAAGGGATAATTGATCCAAAACATGAGCAGTCAATTACCTGACCCTTTACTTGTTTCAAACCTTTATGACTTTCTACCTTCTTTTAAACACAAAAAATTTTAAAATGTTGTAAACCTGTAACCATTTGTATTTACTTCTCCTACTATGCATGTCAATGGTTACAGGTTTTCAGCGTTCTTCAGAATATCTTCCCTGTGCTTAACACAAGAAAGAAACTCATAAGGGTTTGAAACCAATTAAATAGTAAGTAAATACATTTTTTGGTCTTATATACAATTTTTGAGAAATATATATATATTTGTTATATGTTTTCATTTACATTATAGCAGTGTTTCTCAACCACATTTCTAAAGGACCACCAATACTGCATGTTCTGGATGTCTTGTTTGTCACACAAGTATGGCTTAGCAAGGAGTGTAATTCTTGCACGCTGCCAGCCAATCACTACTCGCTTAGTGAAGATTCTGCTGTCATCTTTAAGGTGCACGCTTGTATTTCAGGAGGCGAGGCTTTGTACGGCAGGGGTGGGGCTGTGTTTCAGAGATTTATGCTAGCCAGTTAGCATTGTCGCAGATTACCTACTGCACCTTTAAGGAGACATGTAAAATGTGCAGAGCTGGAAGTCCTCTAGGAACGTGGTTGAGAAATACTGCATTTTAGTATGCTTTCTTTATATTGATGCTATTGAGTGACATATAAGGTGAACTTCAGTGTAAAAAATGCAGGGATCCACAACACAAATCAATTAAGTTAACTTAAACTTATGCAGATTAAACATAAAAAAAACTTAAGTTGGTCCATCAAAATCTCAAGAATTTAGTTGTTTTTAGCTTAATTCGTTTTGAAAAAGAAAAAAAATGTTTCCACTGAGTGGTACAGTACGGTACGGTTCAATTTTATGTCTGTTCCCACTGTCAAAAGGTACCAAAAAGCAAACTGTACCGTACCACTTTTTGGGTACCCTTTGCAAAGTGTACCAAGCATGACAAAATGGTACCAAAAGACAAAGCAGGATGCGCACTTGAACGCTATTGGTTTCCACAGATATGTCACCAGCGAATGCCACAAGCCAGGAGAATGAAAACAAAGGAACCGCCATTTTTAAAAACACAGCCGAGACATTACACTGTTATATTATATACATATAATAATAAGCCATGGTCGTCCCGAGCTCAAACAAACCTTGTTGGCAACTTTATAAACAGCCAAAAAGCCAAGAAGAGCAAAATCTGCTGTGCCCTGTTGTTGTTTTATGAGCCAGTCTAAAAGTGCGAGTGGTTTTATTTTGTCTAGAGAGCTTGCCGCGCGTCTATAATTGAAATAACGAACTTCTTACACGTGATTATTGAAGTGTTACTGACATCAGATCCTTTCAGAAATGGAGAAACACGAGAGTGAAGCACTAAAAATCAAAAAGGAAGCTGAAAAAACAAAGGAGCAAATGATTCAGCAACCTAAAACGTGAACAAACTGCCATGTTTAACTATTATCATCGCCTTTTGGACTATTATGAACCCAGAATGATGGAATTACTTTCTAACAATATGTTACATGTGCTGCTGAAGATTAGAGACACAGATGAGAGGTTTGCACTGACTGGGCTACATGTTGATGTTGTTTTTGAACCCAATTAAGGACTAAATATATGTTGTGTGTAGTTTTTCTGTAATTGATAACACAGCGGAGACTCTAAGGGCCCTATCATACACCCGGCGCAATGGGGCGCAAGGCGCGACGCAATACTTGTTTGGTAGTTTCAGCTTGGCGCAAGAGTCGTTTTGAGGCGTTGCGCTACGCTGTTTAAATAGCAAATGCGTTTGCGCTCAGATATGCGCCCATAGGCGCTCTGGTCTAAAAAGGAAGGCGTTCTGAGGCGCACTGCTGGCGCGTTGCTATTTTGAGAAACTAAAATAGATTTTTCATTAGACCAAAACAAACCCGGTCTAAACTCCGGCGCAGAGTTGCGCCTCACTTACACACTGCTTAATACGCACAAGAGAGCAATAGGCAAATATCTTTACATATGAAAAAAATTAAATATTAAGGATATATTTAGGATATAATAAGAATAGATATAGGATATAAATATAAAGGATTAAAATATTACAAAACATATTATTTTCTAGCCTACATAAATATGAAAAATCACTGCTTTTATGTCTTCTTCATCTCGGGAGGCTTTTTCAGTTCATTCATAACAATTTGCTTTTGTATAATGTTATCATTACTAGCAGTATTATTTATTATATCCATATTTATATTTGTTTTATTAAAAATAAGCTTAGATTTGTCCACCTGTCAGGTTTTAGACCATAAGGGGCACAGCATGTGTTTTAGGATATAACTCAGGTTTTTGAAGACACTTCGTTAATATTGTTCATTTATTCGTTTGCTGGAAATTAGAACTTAATTTAGAAATAGTTTTGAAAGTAATATTTGCGCTTAAACACAATTAATTATTTATAGACTAATTGATATCTGTAAGTAAAGGTTTCCCTATCCAAGAGCGAAAGTGAAAGTGATCCAATATCTCTCATTCTCACGCAGTAGATGCTTTTTAACAGTTTTCTGTTAAAAAAAAAAAAAAAAAACTGTTAACTGTTGGCAAGTGAAATGCTCAGTTTTTCCACTTAGACTTACTTTGCGTCCTGTAAAAAGCGAATGTGCTTATGGCGCGACGCTGCTGGCTCTTAAAGGGAATGGGAGATGAGACTCTAATTGGTTTATTTTCAAAACACACCTATAACTCATTAAGAAAATAAACTCAACCCTTTTAGACCATGCGCCACGGCGCAAAGCGAATTTTCCCTTCCGTAAATAATAGGGATGTAACGGTATTGTAAATACCGTCATACCGCAATATTAAATTTTTTCGATATTACCGAAGTCGCATGACTCGGTAAAACTATAGGTCTTCTGAGAAAATTTGCTCAGGCGAATGAAGCGAACGGGAGGTAGCTGAAACTTCATTTCCCATCAGCCCCGGCGTGGCCATAATCCTTTGCGGTCTGTTGTCGCTACAGATCCAGTAATGCGGAAATGGAGTGTGCTGCTAGTAGCGGAGATGAAAAAAAGATGGAAATGATCGAACCTAAAGCGGGTGTTGTCGCCGCGCGCGTGTTGAATAGCGGTGCTGTCGCGCGCGTTCTGATCAGCTGTGTTGTGGCGCGCGTATTGTAAAGCGCCGAGGGGGGGTTGAGCGCGCATACTCAAGAGAGGTGTTTTCGCGCGCCTACTGAAGGGCTGGACTGGACGGAAGGTGTGTCGCGTCGCGGGGGCACTTTTAATCGTTTTGGAAGGGCATTTTCTATCCAAGACTAAAAAGGGCATGTGCACTGCACAGGTTGAGCCCTATGTGTGCACGTGCCTGCAAGTTGGGGAATACGACTAATAACAGTCATGGGGACTGCAGAAACACAGCACACTGTTCAGATTGATGCAGACATTGACTTGTACCGCAAAGAGACCTCTATCTCACTCATGGTTTGTCCTCTCAAGTGGGGGAAAGACAATGCACAACGTTACCCACTGCTGTCAACATGGGCCAAGTCAGATCTCTGTCACAGAAAACTCAGTCCCAAATGAGAGGGTTTTTTTTCTGTTGCAGGGGACATTGTAAATACCCAGAGATACCAGCTTTTACCAGATTATATTTATATGATAATTTTCCTTTAAACCCATCTCTATCTAAGTGAGTGATTAAATGTTAAATGTGATGAGTTTTCAACAATACTAAATTGAAACTTAATTTTTTTACATGGTTTAATAATTTTTTGTTATTAAAATTGAAGTTCCTGTTTCAAAGCTTACAGATAGATGGCTAATTTGTATGTCATTGACACTTTTGGCACTTTTTTGGAGTATTTTCAAAAGTTTTTTTTTTCCTGTAAATGATTTAATAAATACCGTACCGTGACATTCATACCGAGGTATTACCGTACCGTGAAATTCTGATACCGTTACATCCCTAGTAAATAAGCAAAAATGCATTCTGACATGCCCTGAAAGCATTTGCGCCCTGCGTTTTGCGCTCTGCGCATGGACCGTCAAAATAGAGCCCTAAGGGTCTGTATGTGTTCATTTATGTTGCATTTATTTATTTATTTATTTTATATAATTGCAGACGTTACAATAGGCTATACTGAACTATGATTGATCTCCAGTTATAATCAAACCAGGTTTTGTTGAGATTAATAATGAACATTTATGCACAAGTGTTCGTGTATAAAGCATCTATTTTGTGCAAAGTGCTTCTCATCTGATATGTGAACATCCTGTACTGCTTTACTTTGACATTTCCTCAAGCGAGAATGACGTCATCTAAATCTTTTTGTCAAACACCACACCACTGGTACCGTTTTAGCAGTGGAAATGCAAGCCTGATAAAGGTGACCGGTACCGAACCGTACTGTACTGTACCACTCAGTGGAAACGGGCCATAAATGAGCTACACACATTTGAATATGCAGCACAATCTGCAGTAACCTAGACAAGTCAGAGTTAAGATGTTTGCATATACAAAAACTCTTCTTCTTTATTAAAAAAAATGATTTCAGAATTAGAGTGTCCCTATATGTAGAAAAGAAACTGCAAGAATACATCTTTGACATCAGCAGTTAAGCTAAGCTGGCAGAAAACCCATTTCATGAAGAAAAATATAGAGGCCATTTATTTCTAGTCGGATGTCCATCCAAATATGGAGGTGTCTAAATATAACCCACTTTTTGTGAATGTGGATCATGAACTGGCTCTAAATAATCTCTCCCAGAGGAGACAGATATATGGTTTTTTACAGAGGCCATCAATTCTCCCCTGCCATCTTTAACAGACACTTACAGGTACTGTCACTGTAAATGGCATCCTTGCCAAACATGTAGAGCTCTCCATCTTTAGTGACGATGCTGCTACTGCCGTTGTTGCAGGCTGTGTAAACGGCCATCTTGGTTTCGAGTTTGATCATCTTCTTGGGTTTGTAGGGCTTTGGTTGTCTTCTGCTCTTTGCTAAAGACAAACACGAAAAACCAGAGATTTAGCATGCGTTTGCAAAAACAACATTATCTTTAGATACCTGTTAAAAATTCCTGTCATACTTGACTCTCCGTCCTCCCCTTTGCTGGCGGAGCCCGTGAAGAAGACGCTCCCATCCTCCGCCACCAGCAGGGCGTGGGAGCCGTCATGTCCCACTGAGAACTGCACAATCTTGGGTGATTTGGTTACAGGCAACTCCACCCACTTCCCAGACAATGGTCCGCCCTGTTTGATACCGAGGCTCTGATACTTTCCAGTATAGTAGATCTGCATGAGTGGACAGGAAGACAATAGTGTTTACAGTTCTCTTGTGTGTTATTAAGTCTGTGAAGAAATACTTCTGACAGATAACAGACAGATACTGCACACTTACTGACACTAGATAAAGCATTTAAGTAGTGACAGGACAATTATTATGCGACTGCTAATAACTGTACCTAATCAGCCTTTTAGAGAACCTGGGGCCTGTTTCAGTAAGGAGGTTCAAACAACTCAGAGTTTAAACTTGAACTCTGAGTTGATTTACCGAGAGATTAAAAACTCAGAGTTTTCGGTTTCAGAATAGCTGATCTGAGTTGGGTCAATCAACTTCGAGTAGACCAACTCAGAGTTAAGCGCGCACACCGTGACTTTAAAAAGGCATTATCAATGGAGCGCAGACATTACGAGTGACTATGGCAATATCTCATAAAAGAGATCACCATTTCTTTCTCCGGCTGAACTTGATGTTCTCATGCAAAGTTATAGCAAATATGAGCTTATATATTTGAAAAGAAGCAGCCATCAGTGAAGAAGAGACAGTTAGCGTGGAAAACAGCTGCTCAAGTTAATGCCTAATTTCACTTTTTAAGAACTTAAATATTTAAGTATAATAAAATAAGTAATGTAATTTGTGACGTTTATATATTTTTTTCTGAACTTTTTTTATACATTTATTAGTTTTAAATGATTTAACAGTGCACTTGTGTGTCTGCCTTTTTATTGATCAAGTGATATAGGTTAATATAACATTTAGAAGGTAAGCAGTACTAAAAATTATTTTTAGAAAGAATAATAATCCCATTAATCTAGTTACAGTGCATATCGAAGGTGAATTTAATTTAATTATTTATAAAAAAAAGGATAAGCCATTCTCGTACAGTTCTTCTGTGTGTGACTAAAATGTAGGCAATAGCTATGTTTCCATCCAAATATATTACATAAATGTATGTGCAAAACTGGAATATTGCATAAAAGATCCGAATAAAATTCCATCCAACGAGTCAAAGAGAAAAAAAATCGTCACTTCCTGATTAAACTGGCACCAAATATCAACAGTAAAAGCAGAATTTACTGTGGTAGAAGAAGCTGCGTCAATTAATTCTTTATTTAGCCTAATTAATGTACTTGCGCCTCGATGTCAGAAGACAGAACACAATAAACACGTGGGGGCGTCTGAAGCCATGAGACGCGGAGACTCTTGACACGCACCAGACGCTCGGAGGTAATTAATAATATACACTAATACTGAAACAGTTAAGGCATTTTAGAATGACTAAAACAATATTTAAGACGTGTTACAGTGTGCTCAGCCTGCTGGGTTGTTCATTTACACACATTTTCATTATCATATGATCATGATCTTTTTTTTTAATGTACATGCTGTAATTTGTTCAGTAAAAGTGTTTCCATCGTCGTTTATGCGCAAATTTTCTATCAAATAAAAGTTTATCTTACTCAGTTATGCGCGTTTTTTATGCATATTTTAAAAAGTTATGTGCATCATGACGTTTTTATCAATCGTTTTTATGCACGTATCCAAAATAAGCATAAAAATAGGTGGGTGGAAACGTAAGGCTAAGGCGAGAAATACCGCTTCATCTTTAAAAAAGGGGAGGAGACCGACAGAAACTCTGAGTTTAGAGAATAAAACCTGCTTCTGACCAGGTTAGATTCACAGAGTAAGTTACCACAGTAACTGACTCTGAGTTAAAGTTACCTCTCTTTCAGAAACAGGCTTGACTTACCCTGCTTTCTCGAGTTTAACAAACCTGCCATTTTGAAACGGAAAACCCAGAGTTTCTCTCATTTCAGGGTTAAAATACTCTGAGTTTTCAGTTAACCTCCTTTCTGAAACAGGCCCCAGCTCACACACTTGTGCAATATCTGCCATTCTTAACTCAACACCATGTCTGTCTAAACGTTTATAATCTTCCCTTCAACAGAATACAAAACAGAGATGTTAGGAAATATGTTTAAAAATAGTCATACAAACTCAATTGTGCTTAATTGTCTAAGCCATTACATAATTGATCTTCCTCTTAAGGGTGCTGTAGCACTTAAATATCAATTTAGCAATTAGAAAACGTCCCTCGTAACAATTTATTGCATAAATGTCTGGAATACGTGATTCTTATTGGTCATTCGTGACATTCCAAGGTATGTTATTCCAAGATAACCACCACTGTAAAAAAAAACAGGCTCATCCAGGTCTCCTGACCAAAGAATATGTTCACATCCATATACCTACATCCACATTAATATTTACATGCTTGTCTGTCTCTTTCTTGTGACTGGGTGATATTTTATTTATGCTCCCTCAGCTTCACTTAGCCACTTTCTGTCCCCAGTAGGCATAAGACGTTTTAATATTAGGTTAGTTTTAGGTCATGATGTTAGGTGACCAATTTTCAAGTCTAGCCACTAAGGACAACTTGATTTGGATGTTCAATAACAAGGTCAAATGACATTGATATTTGGTTAATATTAGGTTGTGTTGGAAAGTGACCAAAATCCAACAGAGCCAACATCTTAAACTAGAGATTACCAAACTTGTTCCTGGAGGGCCGGTGTCCTGCAGATTTTACCCCCAACCCTAATCAAACACACCTGAACAAGCTAATCAAGGTCCTACTATGTATACTTGAAACATCCAGGCAGGTGTGTTGAGGCAAGTTGGAGCTAAACCCAGCAGGGACACCGACCCTCCAGGACCGAGATTGGTGACCCCTGTCTTAAACCAACATCATATTGATGTCAAATACTGACATATTTTCATCAGGTATGGCAACCAAAGTCCAATGCCTTATAGACATCAGTGGTAATGTCCACACAACTTCAAGATGTAACATAACTAGACATTGATATTTGGTTTCATTGTAGGTTGAGTTGCAAGGTGAGCAAAATCCAACATCAGTCTGATGTTGGACACTGATGTCGGTCTGACATTAGGTTCTGAGATCCATCTGATTTTCATTTCCACCCAAAATGCAATGTCCCCCAACTTTGGGGTACAGCGTCAATCTAACATCATGTTGACATCCTGTGCCTGTTGGATCAGTTTTGCTTTTAATTAACGAAATAAAAAAATATTATTGTTTAAAACAATGTTTTGTGTATAATTTTTATGTTTTATGGCAAAAAACCAAGTGGTACATCCAGGAAAATTGTCAGTAAAGCCGGTTCTGTAATTAGCTGTAAACCTCCAGCCCCTGCTTTCAGATGGAGCAGCTTTTACTACATAGAGCCTACAGCTAACCAATTAATCAAAGACAAATTTCATGTGCATTTTTTAAGTAAAATTTACTCTGTAATAAGCTGTAAATATCCAGCAACTGCTTTCAGATAAAGTAGATTATACTAGACAGAACCATAGTTCAGTGACAAGCTAAGCAAAAGATTGCCGACAATTTAATTGGCATAATCATGAAATCAAAAGAGAATTAAAAGAGATTTGACAATTGTTTGCATCACTTCTCAGTGTGATATAACTTATGTGAAAATATCACATTAAATAACATGGATTTATTCCAATCATAAATCCAGTCTATTCTGTATTCATGTTATTATTAGTCATGTTGAATCAACAAAAGTAGGGCTACACAATAAATTGTTTTAGCATCGATATCACAATGTGTGTGTGTGTGTGTGTGTGTGTGTGTGTGTGTGTGTGTGTGTGTGTGTGTGTGTGTGCGCGCAATAGTCAGGACATGCAATGTAACGGACAACATTCATAACTTTAATGTAGAATATTTTAACGAATTATTAATACAATTAATTCCACTTTAAATAAACTCAAGGTCTGTACCCGAATACTGTTTGACTCTCCAGAAATCTAAGAACTTCTTCTAAGATTCTTTTTCTTAGATTTATTTGAAATAATTAACGCGTAAAAAAAAATTAACGCAGTTGCAGGTTTTTTCTACTTCCAGTTGTGGTGGACGTGTGTTCAACATGCAAGAAATAAGACCAAGGAAGCACTTTTTGAAGGCAAGTTTCAATATAAAACAATTAGTCGCATCACCAAGCTCTCCAGAGTTTCATGCAATTTTGGGTGTTTCATTTTTGACTTTCGACTTCTGTTTTAATGGAATTTAAAAACCGCATGGCGAACGGAAAGAAAAACCTCCGCATTTTATGACTCAGTGGTCCTTTAAGACAATCAAAATGCTGCTTACAAGGTAGATAAGAGTAACTTCTTAATCATATTAAAATCGAAGTATTGGTGTCTTATGTAAATCTACTCAGAAAGTCTCGAGCTGTGAAGTCGCGAGCTGTCAAAGACAGCGCATTACTCTGGCTTTCAGCATGAGCCCTCCAAGTTTAGCGTGTTTCCTCATTAAACGCAACGAAAGCGTATGCTTCTCATTGTTGTGACAGAATCCTTGTGAAATACAGCCATACTTTAGAATGTTTAGTTTAAGCAAATTTGACATAAATTTGACATAAATTTGACAAATTTCTTTATTGGCATTGATTGTTTTAAAATTCAAATGACATTAACATGTCAGTGTTTTCATTTCTGTAATAAATATAGCTGTCAAGTCAGGAATTTGTTGGTTTATTGTGAGTCTGTTGTTTACATCAAAACTGTGTTACAAGTTAAACAAAAATTCTAATAAACACTTATATTTTGAGTTTAAATAGTTTGTCTTACATTTACATTAATTTTTACATTTGAATATCCAAAATTACAAGTTTCAGCTATTTAAATGCAATTAATCGCGATTAATTTTTTTTTTAAAAAGTGCGATTAACTAGTTAATTTTTTTATTCGATTTACACAATTTTTTTTGAAGGACACATTTATATTTATTGATAATTTCTTAATTACACACACACACACACACACACACACACACACACACATATATATATATATATATATATATATATATATATATATATATATATATATACATACATTTATATATTATACATAGATTTTTTTTACAAGTTAAACAAAAGTTAAAATTTGTCATTCCTTAATATAATAAATAAATACTTCA